AAGTGGTTAGGATAGATATATAGTTACATTCTCTTAATGAATGGAGGGAGTTGTTCTAATGGTGTTTGTAAATAGGATCAGAAGTCCACTTCTTGTACAGCCATTAACCACTGAGAAGAATATATGCAGTGTATTATTTGTTGAAACTGTACTTCTGATTAGATTTGAAACTGTCTCATTGCTATCTGTTTATCAATAAAACTTTGAAAAAAAAAAAAAGAATGATTCTCACACTAGCCCCAGGGGATGCAGGAAGCACTAGGTGGCATGACCTGCAAGCCCCTCTGTCACTGATTTCTCCAGTTGGCACAGCTGCTGCCTTTGCTAGAACCCCACACCCCACCCAAGGGCAAACAGACTGAACTCCAGGGAGACTCTCTCATGGCCTCAGACTCAAGGTGCTCAGACCTCAGGTCCAGGCGCCCCCCACCCCAAGCCTGTGCATTTGGGAAGCCTGGAGTGGTAGTGTGCACCTGTGATCCCAGCACTCAAGAGGCTGAGGCAGGAGGATTACAATTTTGAGCCCAGCCTAGGCCACTTAGCAATTTAGTGAGACCCTGTCTCAAAATATAGAAAGAGGTCTGGGGGTACCTGCAATGCACAAACAAGGCCCTGGGCTCAATCCGCAAGACTGCAAAAAGGAAAATAAATGAAAAAGGATGGGAGGGGGAGGGAAGGAGAGAGGAGACAAGGAAGGAGAGAAAGCAGATCATTGCTGGCTCCTGGGCAGGAGCAGCAGCAGCTGGCTTAGAGGCTGTGGTGTGTCCTCAGGAGCCCTGGGCGGTGCCCGCCTCCTGATGCTCCGACTCTGCTCTGCTCTGCATCCAGGGCATCCTAGATACCAGCACCCATAGCCCGTCAGGTCTGAGACCTCTGCTGAGCCCCTGGGAAGGGCCAGGAGTGGGGCAGGGCTTCAAAAAATGACCATACCCCATTGTAAATGCCCATCGCTGGGGCTAAATCCAAACTTCCCCGGCGCATTAAGAGAAAAAGAAAATCACAGAGTACAGTCCCATTACCTTGCAAAGAATTTAAATGGATAATTCCACTCTCAGAAGCAGAAGCTAGTTCAAGCAGCTCCAGTCAGCACTGTGTGAGCTCTCCAGGGCAGCCACACCATGTGTGCGTTACCTTACTTAGTTCTCGCCTGGCCCTACAGGAGGTGCTGCTGTCCACTCCTCAGTGCCTCACCCACACCCCACCATTCTCACACTCAACCTTGAGCAACTCCCTTCTTCACAAATAAATAAAACCTGTTTGGCCCTGGATCAAGGCCTTTGCTCCAGCCAGCCATCATCACAGCTGGACTTAGGGCCCTGCTCCCCATAACTACAGATATGCCTCACAGTCTCACCCTGGAAGTGGTAGATTGGAATGAACTCACTAGAATTCCAATAACTTTTCCATGGAATCACAGATATAAATTTCCTGGTCCTTATCGAGGGTCACCATGCTCTGCTGGTTTCTGACCACTTGGAGTAGCCATAAATGTCTCCCCACTGTCATTTGGGGGGTTCACAATGAGCAGAAGACCCTGGAGGAGGCCATGAGCTTGAAAACTCTTGGCCAGCACATTTGACCTCAGGTGGTCTGGTCCTAGGCCAGGAGGTTTGAATAGTTTAAAGAGTCATTTTCACACTTTCAGTGATGGGGAAAAAAATCTAACGAAGGACATTTCATGACTCATGAGAATTAAGTGAAGTTGAAACGTCAGCATCTAGTAATAAGGCCTTAGTGTTGCTTGGTTCCTGCGGCACAGTGGGCCTCACACAGGCAATGCAGTTTCTCCTGGACTCTCCCTGGGAGTGTCCTCCAGCTCAAGGCAGATGGGCCGGGGCCCAGCCGCTGGACACAGGCCCACATCTGGGCCTGTCAGGGCTGTGCCCCTGCAGTGCTCTATTGTGGGCACCCTGGTTTCTCAGCACCCCCATGCTGCCCGGTCTGTGTTATTCCACTAGGAATGAATGAGCATGCAGAGGAGGGAAGTTTGTTGCCCCAGGACGCAGGGGCACCCTAGAGACTGGACGCTTCCCATGAGGAGAGCCATCCCCACTCCCAGTGTGCCCTCCCCTGGGCCAGGTGCCTCACTTCCACGCAGGCTGCTGTGCAGCTGATCCGGCAGCTTGGCACTTCCGAGCCCAGGCCCCTGAGCATCAGCTCCAGCAGCCGCTGCCTGTAGCCCACCTCGCTCTCCACGTACAGCCTACAAGGGACAGACAGTGCCACCATGCAGGGAAGTGGGCCCAGCATCTGCCTACCCTCTGGAGCCTGGTACCACCTTGTAGGGTGACAGTGGGCAGATCGAAGAACATTGCTAGGTCTCTCTTGCCAGGGGTACTGTGGGGGGGGGGTCAGTGAATTCCTCACTTTCTTCCCATCTGCTTTTCATAATGGGACATGGTGGGGAACCAGGGAGTGAGTGCCCATCCTGGCCCTGCTGGAGCCCCTTGCACATGGCCTTGGACAAGCCCCTCTTCTCTCTGGCCTCACATCTCCACTTCTGGAGCCGGAAGTTGGAAATAGAGGGTCTAGAACACAGGCCCTTGTGGCAATGCCACTCCTGAGGGCCTTCAGGCAAGCAGGGGACACCTCTGTGCACCTCTCACCCTGTGACAGCCTGGGCCCCACCTGGCCAGCAGGCCGACTCCCTCCAGGAAGGTGGCACTGCTCTCCAGCCGGGCCCACACTGAGTGCTCCTCCAGGGCGCACACCAAGCCCTCGCTGTTGAGTCTCTCGAACAGAAGCCGCATGGACTTGATGGTGACCCTGGGAGGAGGCAGATGTGCATACTGTTGGGCTGGACCACAGCCTCAGGAGTGCATCACAGGGGTCCGAGTGTCGGCAAACTCTCAAAAACCACAACGTGCTCTACATACACAAGGGAGGGCTATAAGTAGAATCTGCTTCTAGAAACTTGTCCACCAGAAAGGGACAACCAGGGCCTCTTGGGGGGGAGGTGGCTCATGGAGCCCAAGGGCTTCCAGGGACATCTGGAGGCCAGGGCCAGCAGCCTTGCTCCCATGACACCAGCCCTGAGCACCTCTCTAGGTTCAGCTCCTCAGGAAGCGTCCCTATGTGGACCAGTCTCCAGGTCTTCAGCACGGGTGAGGAGGCCTTGGGCCTGAGGCTGCAGCTGAGCTGCATCAGGAGGGTGTAGATGAGGTCAGGGAACAGGTCCAGGAGCTTGTTCTCTTTGTCCACCTTCTCGAGGAGGAGGCACAAGGTGCACAGGATCTACCGAGAGGAGGATCAGGCGCCAGGGCTCCGAGCCTGAGCTCCTGAGGAGCCCCAGGCCCGCCCTGAGACTCACCATCAGGGGGTCCACCGCGGCCAGGCGCCAGATGTCAGCCTTGGAGGTGGGCTGCACCCTGGGAGTGAACCGCGACTGCAGCCGGCCCATCAGGCCACGCAGCATGCTCCGCGCAAAGGGCACATTCTCTGCGGCTGCCAGCCACACCTCCTTCAGGTGGCTGGGCAAAGACAGGCACAGTGACTGTGGGTTCCCTGCCACACCCCCTGGCAGTTAGACCCATCAAGCTACCCCTCTGTAGCCTCCTGAGGAGGAACTGAACTCTAGGAGCTGAAATTCGGTCAGATGGTGTAAGTTGCCAAGACAGCATGGTTAAGACCCACATCCCTGCTGTCGCACTCTGGACTTTCAGACGTAGGAGACCCCAATTCCACTCCCAACCCATGAAGCTGTGAGGCTGGGGCTCCAGATTGGTGGTTTGCCAGGTGCTGGGACCTCCCACCTGAGGCACAGGTAGAGGGCTTTGTCTCTGCTGGACCAGGTCCTGCCCTGAGGCCCACTGTCCACGCCCACCTCCTCCAGATCACCCACCTCTGCATGGGCAGGGGCTGCCTCAGCAGTGATGTGAGAACCGTCTCCTGGTGGAAATGGGCCAGCAGGAGGATGCCTTCAATGAGAGGACGCCGCACCTGCAGGTGGTCCACCGCAGGGAGGTGCACCAGGATGGCACCCAAGATTTCAGCCACCTGTGGGGGCCAGAAGTCACCTGTACAGGGCACAGGACACCCTCTTCCAGGGAGGACCCCAGGTGGGTTAATCCAGGAGCACCTCTCCTGCACATCGGTTGCTCTCTTCTCTGGACTCTTCTACTGGGTCCTTAGTATAGAAGGTGGGGTGCCTGGGCCCTGTCCTTGCAGGACCAGGCTACACTTTAGCACAGGGCTTCCTTGTTCACAATTCTACTTCCTGCTCCTCTGGAGCACTCAGGACTCAGAGGAGACAACCCCAGTGAGTGCAGTGGGCCCATGGTCAGGGTGCCCCTAGCAGTCCCAGCCCACCCCTAGGCACCCCTGCTGGGCTCTGCCACCTTGTCGTCCAGCTCCTTGACCCGCATTTGGAGGAAGGTGCCTATCCAGGTGACGGCAGCCTTGTCATGCTGCAGGTCCATGGCCCCGATGTTCTCGCACAGCTTCTGGATGAGGGAGACCACCTCATCACAGTTAAACTCCATGCAGACCACCTAGGACCGCAGCAAAGCCAGGTCACAGCCTGCTCAAGGCTGCCTGTTCCTGTCTCTTGCTGTCCCAGGGGTGGGATGCTCTGGCATCACTCCTCTGTCTCCAAGGGCTCCCACTGACTGGCCAGTCCAGGCCCAACTGACTTCCGAGGCCATTCTGGTTCACCCAGGCCTTTCCCATAATGCTTTGCTGTCCCCTGCCTGCCTAAACCCCACATAAGAAACCCCAAACTCTCTCTGTCTCCACTTCTGTTGCCTCTAGCTTGTGTGTCCCAAGCCCCAACCCCCCTCTGACCTCCTCTTGCCACTTCTTGGAGCTCCCTTGTACCAGGAAGCCACCTCCACCCCTAGCACAGATAGGACCTCATCACCCTGCCAAGTCTCAAGCCCTGTGTGAAAGTCTCGGACACTCCCACTCATCTCTGCGCCACCAGTTTGGCATGAGCCAGTGCCAGTGTGCAGAGCCTTCTGGATCATTTGGTGCCTGCTCTGTGCTCAGTGTGGTATGTCATAGGGATTGGGAAGAGCCAGCAGGCAGTGCTGGGTGCCTACTGTGTGCTGGGTACTCCCATGGGGTCTGGACCCACTGTGGGACATTTCTATCAAGATGCACCAGTTTCACCAAAAGCCAGGGCAGCTGCAGGCTCCAGGGGAGAGCTGCAGCCATCTGGGAAAAGCTCTGGCCCCCAGAGGTGGCCTAAGATCTGGAGACCAAGCCGTCACCTTGGCAATTCTGGAGGACACGCCCGAAACCTTCTCCTCGTCCATACTCAGCAGGTCTTCCCTACACTTCTGCAGCTCCTTCTCCTGGGCGGCGCCCCATAAGGAGCAGGTCTGGCTTGCTGTGGGGAACACACCATCAGCCGTGATCAGCAGGACAGAGGGCTTGGTCTGGGCCACTGCAGGGTGACCTCCTGCCCTGGATCTGCAGGCTTGAGTCACCCTCAGCATCTGCACCTCTGTCCCTCTCTGCCTCTGCCCGCTTTCTACCTTCTCCATGATATGCATCTGCCTGAGCACCTCCCACACAACCCAGACCTCTGCCCTGGCCAGTTCTGCCACAGCCCTGGTACCTGCAAGTGGGCTTTATGCTGAGGCCTCTCAGTGCCAAGAACAAGCTCTCAGTGAACCCATCGGAACCAAGGAGCGCCTCCTTTCAGAGGCTTCCATGGCCTCTTGCTGGCCCTCCCTCTCAGCCCGCCTGCCCCATACCATGAAGATCTAGCAGGCTGGACAGGACATTAGTTGAGGCCATGCGAGTTCTTCGGTGGGCGTCACAGATGCATGGGGCAACGAGTCCCACCAGGGTGCCAAACTGGCCCAGCTTCAGGGGGATCTGAGAGTCAGGAGACATGGAGTCTCATACCTCCTGCCTCCCATGCATTCACAGGGCGCCCACCATGGGGGTACCTCTCTTCTAACATGCCTCTGGGAAGGCTGCCAGGGCTGCCTGCAGCCTGGATGTCAGCATCCCAGGCCCTCAGCTGGACCCTGGAGTCTGTGAGCCATCTTCCAATGGGTCAGTGCTGTTCTGATGGCAGAGAAATCTTGGGCCTGGTTTCTATGCCTAGGAACCTGCTTTGTCCTGTTGCTGAGGCCTGGGGTCCAATATGGGTTTACCGCCTCTCTAGCTGAATGACCTGGATGGGGACTTTGCCTCAGTCTCTCATGTTGTCTGTCTCTAACATGGAGTCAGAGACAGCACCTCCTCCTCCAGGAAGGGCTGTAGAATCAGGTGAGAGAACACAGGAAATGCGCCCCACACAGCCTGCCCTGGCTGTCCCTCCATGTTAGCCTGGACCCCTGCCTCACTGGACTGGGACCTCATTCACCTCTGTCATGCACCCCAGGGTCTCACTGTCGCCATCCCCAAGGCCTGAGGCTGTTCCCACATCCCAGCTGGGGTACTGCCATCCTCCTGCCCACAGCTGTGCCTGAGGACAAAGCTGTCCGAGCATGGAGCCAACAAACAGAGAAGAGGCTGCGCCGGCCACCAGTTCACCAAGGAAAATGCGATCCCATTCCTCTAGACCCTGTGAGTCCTGTGTTACATGTCAAGACTTGTGAAATGTGACTTTGCAGTTCATCCTTTTCTCATTCTAAGTATTCTTTCCCATGTGGTATTTGTAATTGTGTACGCTGATGTGTTCGTTTGTTTTGATTTGGTTTACTGGAGGACAGCAGATTGCACCCAGGGCCTTCACACTGAGTTAATCCCCAGCCCCTTTTGTTCTTCTGTTTTGAGACAAGGGCTCATTAAATCACCAAGTTACCCAGAAGGACTCGAGCTTGTAGTCCCCCTGCTTCAGCCTCCCAAGTGCTGGGACTGCAGGCCTGCACCACCATGCCTCATGCTTGCCATTTCTCTCCCTTCCTCTTGCCTTCTTATTAGGGCCCTTACCTCTGCACAAGCCCAGGTCCTACCAAGCTGGGTCACACTGAACCACCTCCTGTCTTTCCCCTTAGCAGCCCCAGGACCCTGGCCCCTTGCTCATTGCAGCCTATTCTCCAGGTAAGGCTTGATTTCAAGTGCCTCCTGCCCCCTCACACAGAGAGAGGGCTTCTCACAGAAGTCAGGGCAGCAGGCTTGGGGCCAGGTGCTGGCAACTCACACAGACGCTGACACTCCGGACGTAGAGCTCTACAAGGTGCAGGTGCAGGTTCATAGCCTTCTCCCGCTCCCATTCTTTCTCGGACAAGATCCACTTCTCCAGGAGCTGTGGGTGGGGTCCAGAACATGGAAGTGGTCAGTGAAACCGAGGACAGCCTGTCCTGCCAGCTTTTGCAGCCTCCCTGTCCCTCCCACTCAGGGTCTCACTTTCAAGGCCTCTGCATGGTCCTAGACACTTCGGCGTTCTTCCCCAGCCCTCCCAGGAGAGGAGAGGAGGCTCGGGCAGAGAGAAACTGGCTCTTATATGGAGCCTGGTTCCATGTGTCTGTACCCAGTGAGCGCTGGGAGCATGGACGCCCTGCGCTGAAGGAGGCACTGAGCGCCAATCTAGCATCACAGTCCATCTCACAGCACAGAACGTGAGTGCCACTTTTCAAATGATAAGTGTCCCCAAAAGGCCATGCAGTGAAGGCTGGGTCACCAGATGGTGCTCCTGGAAGTGATGAAACCCTTGAGGGTGCTGGTGGGAAGAAGTCAGGTTCACCAAAGGTGCACTCGAAGGGGACACTGGGACCCAGATCCTTCCTCTTTCCTTTCCAGCCTCCCTGAGGGGAGTAGATGCGGCTGCCAGGCATTTCCACCATGGTGAGCTGCCAGCCACACCACGGAGCTGGCTGACCATGAACTGAAACCTCTGAAACCGTGAGCCACAATAAGTCATCTTTTGGTCACTTGCCGCTTGCTGCTTTTGCTTCCTTCTGCTCACCATGAGCTATTTCTCCTCTGCCGTGCCACCCTGCCTCAGAGCCAGCCACCCATGACCTGAAATTTCTAGGAATGGTGAGCTACAGTCAATCTTTCCTCCTTTCACTTTGGGGGTCAGCTACTTTGTCTCAGTAACAAGAATAATAACTAAGACAGATGACAGTAAAGAGACCTCAACTATATGCTGGGCAGAATCTGGATGGCATTGCAGGACTCACACAAAGGACATCACTGAGACAACTGTGAAATTTGAATATGGATCATAGGCTTTAGTTAATTTTTTTTTTCTGTACCGGGGATTGAACTCAGGACCCTGCACTTGCCAGGCAAGCATTTATTCTACTGAGCTATCTTCCCCGGCCACATAAGTTTTAATGTAGCACTATATTGACCTTAAACTTCATGATTTTGATCACTGTGCTCTTGTGAGAGATTGATATTTTTATGTCTGCAACTAACTGTCCGTGCTTCAAAAGATATGCATATCTGCACATGCACATGTGCATATGCATCTCTATGTGTGCATGTATAATGAGAAACAAACAAGGAAAAGAAGAAAATGTGAGAAAATATTAAAAATTATGAATCTGGGTGAAGAGTATCTTTGTATTCTTCTACCAGTTTTTCAACATATTTGAAATGTAGTCAAAATGAAGTTACTACCACTTATCAATGCATTGGCCTGTTCCCGCAGCCTAGCTCTCCGGCTCACTTCCTGGGAGGGGCGGCCACCCCTGGCTCAGGCAACTCACATGCACTGTCTCTTGCAGCCCCTTAGGGTCCAGCTGCTTCTGCAGGAGGCCTTCCATCAGCCACTCCAGGGAGTGCAGGGCGTTCACATACAGGGTCTATGGCCGAGAGATGGAGAGACAGAGAGCTGGGCAGCCATGGCTGGCACACAGCCACCCTCCAGGACTCTGAAGGTGTCTACAGAGCTGAGGCATGAGTGGCCTGAGGGTCACCCATGAGCTGGCTGCTGCTTAGGTTTTGCTCCTTGCACTCATCTTTGCAAGTGCGGTGTGAAGCAACTTTTCAAGAAGCAAGATTGCACAAAACTCCTGCAGCCTAACCCTTCCCATCTGGGGCCAGGGCCATGCGGCCCCTCCCCACCAGCATTTGTTTTCCTCTTGCGCAGTGCTGCTAGGAAACAACCCTGTTGATGTGATCACATCCCTGTATCCCTGTGTCTATGTGGATCCTGCGTGTAGGCCTGTGGGAGGAGGGCAAATGGCGTGGGAGTCTTGCTTGTGCCTTCTTTTCCTCCCTGTCTAGGTTGCACATCATCGCCCAAGCCAGCTTAGGAGCCTCACACAGAAAGTGCGGGAGGGCTGCCAACCTGGGGTCCTGATAACTATATGAGGTGCTCTACGCCCTCCCCCACTCAGCCCTGGACTTTACTGAGATGAGAAACCAACTTTTATCTGTGTTAAGGCTTAGGTCTAAAATATGCCACAAAATCTCCTGTGTCCAGAGGTGGGGCCTTGAAAGGTGACTGAGTTATGGGGACACTATGCTTATCAAGGGCTTAATCCATCAATGAGCTTGTGTACTATGAGGTGTGGTTGTGGTGGGGAGGGTCACTGGGGTACAATCTGGAACGGTGTGCTCCTGCTACGCCCCTCTCTTTGCTCTGCTTCCTGGCTGTCCTCTACCAGGCCCTTCTCCACTGCTGTTTCTGCAGCGGAGCCAGCCAAGCAGGGGCTGAAACCCCCAAATCAGAGCCAAATTCAAGCTCCCTTCCTGTAAGTCGTGGGAGTCAGAGATTTTGTTCTGAGCACAGGAAAGCTGACTAATACATCTGGTTAAGCCACCTAGGTTCCAGGGTTTATCTGTTGGGTGGTCAGTATCCCCTGTACCTCCTAATAGAAGCCAGCACACACTGCTGCCTGTAACCACTCACAGGTGGTTTGGGACAGCAAAGTCTGCCTACGCCCACGAAACTTCCAGGTCCCAACCCAGAGACTGAGGCGGTCCCAAGGGCCACACCTTAATGGGCTCGTTGTCCTCTCCTGGGGGTTGGAGAGAAATTACAGAACGTATGCTGATCTCCATCAGCTCGATGCTTTCCTCTGCGGGGTAGAAAGGCCTCAGCTTGCTGGGGAAAGAGGAGGTGACAGAGGAGGTGACAGAGGAGATGAACCTCTGCCATTCCCTGCCAAGTCTGGTACAAAGGCAAATCATAGCCGACTTCCTGTTTGTGGGGTCAGGTGATGTACTCCTGCCTGGGGCCCTGCTCCCCCTGGCCACCAGTACCCAGTGCTCAGCCTGAGACTAAGGCAGAGATTCAAGGTACAAGGCTGTCTCTCCCACTCGCTGCCACACACAAATCTCCACGAACGAGCCCTGAATCTCCTTCTGCCCTAGTCACAACCATGAATCTGCCCTTCCAGGCTGCTCCTAGTTCAGGATTTTCAGAGAAAAATCCAGCAGAATCTCAGACTGCACGAACAATACCAATTTTACAGCACTGCTTCAGACCTACTGAGTCAAGACCTCTGCGGGGGTGTCCCTGTCCTCCATGTTTCTGTAACTCTCCAGGGTGGTCGCTAGCTGGGTGGTGCATGTGAGCTCAATCTCCTCCTCATTAAGCAATAGTTTAGTTCTGGAACCTCACTACGTATCATGACCACCTGGAGAGCTTTCCATGTCCTCCCAGGGCCAAGAGAGCTGAGAGACTCCATTCTACCTTAACTGCAAGCTTCTGCCTCCTAAGTATGTCTCGCTCTTCACCCTCCAGAGGGGCCCCCATACCTAACCAAATCTAGTCATTCTGTACATGTGTTCATCTTTTCTGCAAGTCCCTGGAAAGCTGGGATCAGAGCTCACCTGGCAACTCAATTGAGGTTGGTGATGCATATTTGGAATCTGACCCCGTGTCACCTCTTAAAAGCATTGGATAGCTCTGCTAATCCCCTATCTAATGTCCATCTCTTACAGTTAAGGTCTAAGGGTGACCTGGCCATTTTGAGGACCAATTTCATGAATCCCTAACTTCTACCCCTCTCCCCTCTCCTCCAATGGATGTAACTTCAGGAGGGCCAAGCCATGGCATTACAGTGCCTTACACACACTCTTAACAATAAAAAGCATTCAATGTGTGACAGGCCCAGCCCAACTTGAAAGGTACAAGCTCCTCATGATCCTTTTCCGCATCACTTGCTATCCCCTCGTAGACCCAGAAAAGCCCACCCACCTGCCATATGCCTCCCTATCCAAAAGAAGCACCCAGCTTGGAAGCATTGGAAAGGAGCAGACCCCATCTTCCACGTTGCCCACTGCCCCAAGGAGCTGCTGCCCATGACCCATGTCACAAAGGCAGGGAGGAAGGGACAGTGCAAGCCCTGAAGGTGCAGTTAGGGGATGATTGCAGGCTTTGTTCCCATCTTTGGGGGGCCCATGGGGCTGGTCAGGGTCCCGGCTAACCTCAGGTGCGAGAGGGCATCCATGGCCATTGCCCGCACAGGAGAAGCCAGGTGGTCGGTTGGCTCTGCCTTGAGGATCACCTGTCCAGCATAAGTAGAGTGGAAGTGCATCGGCCTCCCAGAGGTTGGAGGTTAGGAGCAGCATCCCTAGCTGATGGTGGTGACTGGCCACGCTCACTGGGATTAGTACAGCAAGAGCTGGTTCTAATGCCCCACCTGTCTTTGGTTCTTTTCAGGTTGACTTGGCCATGGCACCTTGTGTGGAAGGAGCTTCTCGTTCAGGGCCATTGCTGGCTTGCCACGTGTCCTCGACCACACAGCCCCCACCTGAGCCAAGGTGCCCTGTGCATATCAGAGACTCAGGACTCATGTTACAGGGCTGTGGCCAGCTGGTATGGAACAACTCAGTGCCTGGCCAACAGAGTCTCACCCCTTTGGTGCCAGCTGCTCTTCCCACTCACTTGTCCCAGCAATTGTGTCAGACACACACCAAATACTTCCCACAGGCAAAGAGCACAGGGGTGGGGAGGCTGTCCCATGGGCCATATCCATCTTTGGACCGCTGATGTTTTCTACATCATTCCCTAGTTCTTCCTAAGCACTGTTTCTAGACCACTATCTAGGAAGCACCAACACTGCCGTTGGCCACCCAGCAGACCCGTCCCCCAAGCCAGCCACTTGCAGTTACTGTGTAGAAAGCAGTGATTTGAGGGTGAGACTGCAAACCAGCCATTGCCCTGCCTGTGGAACCCTTCATCAGAGGCCAAACTTGTTCTCAGAACTCTCCCGATTAGATGGATGGAGGCCAAACTGAGACAAGGAGGACTCCGCAGCCCCTTGACCCTAGATACCTTCTGGAGCTCCGAAAACATAACGGGAAGAAAGCAGTGATTTGAGGGTGAGACTGCAAACCAGCCAGGCCAGAGGAGCCCCACTCAGCTCACCATTATGAGGTCAGTAAGAGTCGGCTTTGGAGCAAACTGAAAGTCCCCCAGATCCTTGATGTTTCTGACAGCAGTGGTGACCTGAACAATACTCTTCATGAAGGCCATTTTGAGGCCAATGTCCTGCAACCAGAAAAGAGATGGAAAGGAAAGCCCTTGTATGAGGGAGCCTGGAAGATCCTGAGTCATGGCCCTTGCTTCTGGATCCTTCCTCCACTTAAAAGGGGTCCATTTCAGGGGAGCTCTGGGTGACCAGTCCATCTGTCCTTCACCCACATTGACTCAGCATCTGCCATGTGCCAGGGGCACTGGAAAGGTGACAGCTCTCTGGGTCCCATGGAGGATGTCACCACCTCCAAGCCCCCTTCATCTGTGACTAAAGGAACAACACAGGTGAGGGGCATCCTCAATGGCCAGGGTCACCTTATGTGTCACCTAAGAGGTGGCACAAGTTACTGAATTAAAATATTGGATTTTTAAAATTTCATTTACATGAAAACTTGGAGTAGTCAAATTCATAGTGGCAAGAAGTGGCCCAGTGACCACCAGGGCCTTGAACAGGAGAATATGGGGAATTGGTGTTTCATGGGGGCAGAGTTTCAGCTTGGGAAGACCAAGAATCCCAGAGATGGAGCCTGTGGTGGCTACACAGCAAGGTGAATGCATTTACTGCAGTAGAACTGTGCACTGTGAAAGGGTCACAGCAGAAATTTTTGTTTGCTTTATTTTACCACCATTTTCAAATTAAAATTAAAGTAACTCTTGCTTTGCTCTCCCTGAGTTTGCTCCTTCTGGCCATTCCAAGGGAGTGCTCAGTCTCCTTGCACCTCTTTGAGAATGACCCCATCTTTGTCCCCTTGAGATGGGACCTGGACAAGGCATCAGTCAGTGTCAGGAAGAGGTGAGGGCAGGGCGAGTGGGAGAGGCTGGGAGGAGGTGGGGCTGAGCTTGTGGCTTCCAGGGACCCATGCATGACCCCAAAGCACAGGGAGCAGTACAGGGCCTCAGTGCCCCTAGGGGGCTGAGGGACAGCCCCATGGTGATGTGGGATGGCACCTGCCAGCCTGGCTCAGGGAAGGCAGCCCCCGCCCCAATCCTGGCACCAGATGAGAGATGTGGGTACCTGGCAGCTGCTGGAGTAGTGGTGAATGATCTTAGCAGTGATGGGGTTGTCCACGTAGGCGAGGAGCATCTGGGGGTGGCAGTAAGAGGACACGCAACTATACATCACCATGAGGGTGCTCTTGACAGTCTCCCGCTTCCAGAGGTGGTCCTTCTGCAGGGAACAAGAAGGGACCTGGGACTGCTCCGTAGACTCCTCTTGGGAGAAGCAGAGGCTGTGCCAGTCTCTGGCCATGGAACCAAAGGAGCCACGGAGGCAGTGGAATTTCCCTTGGCTGTTTCCGAAATCCCAGAAGCACTCACGCATTTATTCATGCATTTGTTCATCTGCATCTTTGCTGAGCACCTGTCCTACACCAGGCACTGGGCAAGAGGTAGGGAGCAAGACAGATCAGCACCCCACACCAGGGAAGCTTCCGTTCAAGACAGATGAGAGGGGACCACTCCTCAGCTGTGAGTGCGTGCGAGGTCTGTGTGGACCCCTGAGCAGAGGCCACCAGCATCTCTTCCTGCCGTCCCTTGCCAGGCTCCTAATTCAGGACGAGCATCTGTGCGCTGGAGAGCCAATGGGGCCCACCCTGTCCTTCTGCTATGAATGCCTTCTGAGCACCTCTGGTGTCACAGTCACCAGAATTCTTACATGGGAGCTGGAGTAACCACACACAGCTATGCTTGGAGTTGAACTCAGGGGCTCTAGCCCCGCACTACCAAAAGGTGGGTTCAGAAGCCTGGGCCCATCTCTGTTCTCTCCATCAAACCCTGACCCCAGGGCAAGGGTCTGAGATCAAGGCCAAAGCCTGAGACATTGATGCCTCAGGTGGTTTCTCACTGGGGAGCTTAGCCAGCTGCAGGACCATTCCCAGGGTAGGGAGGGGCAGTGGTTGGAGACCAGAGCCCAATCCTGGGGTCCCCATGAGCCCATCAGGCGCCTTTTTTTCCAACTGCTTCTGTGTCCTTTTCTGTATGCCCAGCTGAGCCCAGCACCAAGGACTCTGCACAGTGGGTGGACCAAGGCTGAGCTATCACAGGTGTGGACAGCATACACCAAGCATCTGTGCTCTGGTAGGGCCTGGATTCTGCTCCGAGGGAGCCTCTACTGATGTTTGAGAAGCCCACCCTGAGCCTCTAGCAGCTGGGCTCCTGGCCTAGTCTGTTTGGCTGCACCCACAGCCCAAGCTCTGCTGGAGGAGGCCCCATGGGCTGGCTGTGCAGTGAGTGGGCCCTACCTGCCAGGCGCTGATCTGCCAGGTCTGCTCTGATTCTTGGATCCTCTCCTCAAAGTCCTGGAGCACATTCAGCACTGTCTTCACCTGGCCGTGGGCGCACAGGCCGAAGCACTGAATCACACCCTGCAAGGGAGACCTCATCCAGACCCAGGGAAAGGGCCGGGTGTGAAGAGGAGCCTATACACACCTGCACACACACACAGACGCACTAACAGCCACTTGTACCCAGGCACACAAAGATGCACACTTACATGTGTGCCTGCTAACACATACCACACACAATGTCCCCTCCTTCCCATGGTCCATGGGCAGTTGTGGGCAGGAAGGGACTGCAGGTGCCTTCACCTCCCTGTCGAAGTCATTGCCATAGTCAGTCTTGTATAGCAGCTCCAACAGCAGCAGCTCCACCTTGTTGGCCTCTAGGCCCATGGCCAAGGTGAAGCCCAAGGCCCTGTACAGGAAGCCCTGGAGAGGCAAAAGGAAGGCAGGTGCTCACACCACCCTAGTCCTGCCTCCAGGGGGCACTATAGCAGAGCACTTGCCAGAGCTTTCCAATGGACATCTACTCGTTTCCCACATTCTTTTAAAGAAACACTTGGATAGGAAGAACCAACATTGGGAAAGGAAAGCCAACATTTTGGCCCTAACCTTCTAAGGTCAATTAAGACTCAGGACATATGAGAACTTGTACTGTAACATCATGTAACTCTGTAGTGTCCCAAATTTTCTGATCAAGGAGATTATGGGGCCAAAGAGGAAAGTGACCAATGATGTAGAGTGTGCCTAAGGAGAGTCACATGGAGAGAAAACATTCTCTCAGGCTTTCACAGAGAGCACATTGGCCAAGCAATGGCCGTGACTCATCCACATGGCTGCACTGACAAAGTTTCTACAATCTGAGGTATAGGATCTCAGGATAAATCCTGAGGGCATTTCACTGACCTTATCAGACCCAAAAGCTACAACTCTTGTTGCATAGGTCCTGCTTTACCTTGGTCTTAACCATCCAGCAGAAAAGTATAAAAACGAAGCATAAAAAGCAAAGCCATGCTGTTATGTTGAGCTGTAGGGTACTCCAGTCAACAGTTTCTGACATTGCCAGTCAAGAGGAAGATCCAATACTATTATGGACTACTGGACTCTTTTAGGATATTTTGCTGAGTTGACACATCTATAATACTCAAATGACAGAACTAAACAAAAAAGGGGATACAGATGAATGTCTATTTTGTATCTGTGTATTCAAAATGCTTAGGATAAATATATAGTTATATTCTCTTAATGAATAGAGGGATTTGTTGTAATGGTGTTTGTAAATAGGATATCATGTCTGCATCTTGTACAGCAAATAACCACTAGGAAGAGAGTATGCAATGTGTTAATTATTGAAACTGTCCTACCAATTTGATTTGAAACTGTCTCATTGCTATTTGTCTCTCAATAAAATTATGGAAAAACAAACCAAAACAAAAAACAATAAAAAAGAAACACTTGGGTTATTCTGCACGTCAGACTGTAAAAAAAAGCAGGCCATGTTTTAGTAGTGGAAGCCCAGTTCCTGTCATATAAAGTTTGACCCTCATACCCGCCCACCAAGCCCAGGAGTATCGATTTCCTGCACAGTCTTTGGCAAGCCACTGCTGGCAAGAAGAGGAACATTCTCATTTTGATCTATTACTTTGACTATTAGTCATGTTGAGCACCTTTCCACATTCTCGTGAGCTTTTTTAATTCTTTGAATTTCTGGCTACGTTCTCAAATTACTCAGAAGGATTTGTTTGTATATTTGGAAACATATGATTATGCATTGTCTCAAATTTAATCTCCAAAATGATGGTATAGTATGACTACAGTATTTAGCGATGCTTGAACAAACAGGAGGTGGAACCAGGGGGTCATAATTAGAGGCTTGTTTTTTTTTTTTTTTTTTTTTTTTGTGGGAACTTGGGATTAAACTTAGGCCCTTGCACTTGCCAAGGAAGCGCTTATTCCACTGAGCCATCTCCCTGGCCCGAGGCTTGTATTTTTGAGAGCTTGTTTGGAGGTTGTGGGGCAGGCAGCTACTCATATACCCTGGACCAAGGAACAGTCCTCCTCTATCGGGGGTGGTAGTCCTCTTCCACTGAATGTGCGGCCTTGGGAGGGACACACATGGATCTTTGAGGGAGGAAGGGGACACCTGCATAGCCAGCCAGATCAGCTGACTCAATGGGGTGACAATGGGGTGACAGATGTCACAGCCAGATCACCCTTACATCCAGAGGCTCATATTTTTAACAAGTGCTAATCAAAGTTTTTAACTGGGAGTGACTATTGTCTCATCTGTTTTTTGACTTTAAAAGCCTTTTCTGCTCAATTGAGATAATCGTGTGGTTTTTGGATTCGGCTCTATTGATATGGAGTATTACATTTATAGATTTGCATATATTGAACCATCCTCACATCCCTGGGATGAATCCTACCTAGTCATGGTGTATAATCTTCTTGATGATTTGTTGTATTCTATTTGCTGGAATTTTGGCATCTATATTCATGAGGGAGATTGCCTGTAGTTCTCCTTTTTAGTTGTGTCTTTCCCTGGTTTTGGTATCAGTATAATACTTGCCTCCGGGAATGATCTTGGGAGGACTGCTTTCTTTTCAGTTTCATTGAAGAGTTTGAGGAGTATAGGGACTATATCTTCTGGAAATTTCTTGTAGAATTCAGCTGTGATTCTATCAGGACTTGGACTTTCCTTTGTCATTAGGCTTTTTATTACATTTCATATTTCATTGGCTGCTATTGGGTTATTGAGAGATGTTATATCTTCTTGATTCAGTTTTAGAAATTTGTACCTTTCTAGGAATCTGTCCATTTCTGCTGTGTCTTCTATTCTGTGAGAGTAAAGATTCTCAAAGTAGCTATTGATGATCTTCTGTGTTTCCACTGAGTCTGTGGTAATTTCACCCTTTTCATTCCTTATTGTTTGTATTTGAATTTTTTCTTTCCTCTTTTTGATGAAGTTAGCTAGGGGCTTAACAATTTTATTTAATCTTTCAAAGAACCAGCTTTTTTTTTTTTTTTTTTTTGGCAGAACCGGGGATTGAACTCAGATCCTTGTGTTTGCCGGTCAAGCGCTTATCCTACTGAGCCATCTCCCCGGCCCCAGAACCAGCTTTTTGATTCGTTAATTCTTTGAATTGTTTTCTTTGTCTTGACTGAATTAATTTCTGCTCTAATTTTAATAATTTCCTCCTGTCTTTGGGCTTTGGGTTTGGTTTGCTCTTCCTTTTCTAGTCGTTTGAATTGCAGCATTAAAGTATTTATGTGTTCCCATTCTGTTTTCCTTTAGAGCACATTTATCAACTCTCAAAAGCACTCTGTGTCCCTCTGCAGTGACTCTGTATTTCTCCTGCCTCCAACAATCACCAGTCTACTTTCTGTCTCTGTGGATTTGTCCATACTGAACATTTTATATAAAAAGAAAGGTATAATATATGAGGCTTCATGTTTCCTGGCATCTGGTTTCTTTCTTGTAGCATATAATGCTTTCATGGTTCCTCTAAGACATTGCATGCATTGATGCTCCATTTTTCTTATGGCTGGGTGCCAGCCCTGTGTATAGCTACCCCATACTGGCAGATCCATTTATCCACAGATGGACATTTGCATTGTTTTCATATGTTGGTGGCTGTGAATGACACCACTGTGACACCACTTATGTTCCAGGTTGTTTGTTTTGTTGAGCACCGGTTTTCACTTCTCCTGGGCATGTATATCCAGTCATGGACTCACTAGGTCAAATCTTAAGTATATATTTAACATTCTGAGAAGAGACCAAATGATACTCCATTTCCATTCCCATAGGCAATGTATAAAGGTTCCAAATGCTTCCCACGCTTGGCAACATTTTCTCTTACCTGTTTTTTTTTTATTATTATAGCTCTCCTTGTGGGTGTGAAGTGATGTTTCATTGTGTGTGGTTTTATTTTTAATTTTTAAGAATTTATTTATTTATTTGAAACAGGGTCTTGCTACATAGCTCAGACTCATAGTGATCTTCCTGTCTCAGCCTTCCCAGCACTGAGATTACAGGCATGTGCCACTGCATGTGGTTACAGTGGCCAGCACAGTGCATGCCAGCACAGTGTGCAGTACTGGGGATCGAACCGAGGTCCTTGCACTTGCCAGACAGGTACTTAGACCCCTAAGCTATCTCCCAACCTTCACTGTAGTTTTGATTTACATTTCACTGATGGCAATGATCTTGAACATATTTTTCATCTCCATAACTGCCATTTGTGTATCTTTTAAAGAAAGGCTATTTAGATGTTTTGCTCATTATTAATAGATTTATTTTTATTAACAAGCTCCAATATACATTTGTGAGCTTCATCAGTATATATATATATTACAAGTTGTAGGTATTTTCTTCCATTCTATGGTTTTTTTTTCACTTTAATGATGGTATGATTTTCATTATAAGATTATTTTCAGAGGGGTTGGGGGTTGGATCGAGAGCTCTCACCTTGAGCTAAGTCCCCATCCCTTTTAAAAGTGTTTAATTTTGAGACAGGGTCTTGCTGAATTGCTTCGCTGCCCAACCTGGGCTTAAATTTGCAATCTTCCTGCCTCAGCCTCCAGAGTTTTGGGACTGTAATCTTGAGCCACCATGCCTAGCTGAGAAATTCTAATTTTTATGTTGTTCAATTCACTTACTGTTTTCTTTCATCACTTGTGCTTTTTATTGTTATATCTAAGAAGCCTTTGCCCAACTCAAGGTCATGAAGTCTTAGACCTACGTTTTCTTCTATAATTTTATTTTTTAGAATTTATCAGACTTGCAGTGATCCTCCTGTCTCAGCCTCCCCTGCTCTGGGATCACAGGCGTGCATCACCATGCCAGGTTTTGGTGGCTGGCACGGTGCACCCTGGGTTCCAGAGCCAGCATGGTATGCTGTACTGGGGTTCAAACTCAGGTCCACAGGCTTGCCAGGCAGGTGCTTAGGCCGTCGAGCTATCTCCCCAGTCCTCTTCTAAAGTTTGATGCTTTCAGCTTTTATATTTCAGTCTACTATCCTTTTGTGTATGCTGTGAGGAAGAATCTGATTTCTTTCTTTTGCATGTGGATATGCAGTTGTCTGGACCATTTGTTGAAAAGGTTTTCCTTTCTTCCTCTGAGTTGTCTTGGGATCCTTGCTGAAAGTTAGCTATTATAATGTGAGAGTTTATATCTCATTTTTCAAGTCTGTTATGGGTTGGGTCGAGGTGTCCCCCCAAAGCCTCATGCAGTCATGGGGTGGCTTCTAGAGTTGATGATTAATGCATGATCCAGTGCTGGGATTACAGGTGTGAGTGCTACCCCTGCCCTGAGGTGGGTAATCTGCATACGATATAAGGAGGGAGAGAGGCTTGCTAGGTGGCACAGCTGCTGCTCCTCCCTTTGCTCTTTGGTGTCTTCCACCACCACGAACGTCTGCCGTCTGCCATGTGCCACTCTGCCTTGGAGCCAGCCAAGTGTGGATTAAACCTCCCCTAACTGTGAGCTAAATAAACCTCTCCTTCCTTAATTCTGGGTGTGAGGTATTTTGTCCCAGCAATGAGAGAAAAGTAACTGAGACAAAATGCATTCCGCCAGTCTACATATCTATCCTCATACTAGTACCACACTGTCTTCTTCTCTGCATCTGTGTAAAACATCTTAAAATGGGGAAAATTTGAGTCTTCCAACTTTGTTCTGTTTCCTAACTGTGTTGTATATTCTGGGCCCCTTGCACTTCTGTAAGTAATTTTAGGATCACCTTGCCAATCCCTGGGAGGAAAAAGAGTCAGCTGGGACCACGGTGGAGGCAAGGCTGAATCTGTAACCAGATTTGGGGGGGCATCACCATCTTAGCTACATCAACTTCCAATCTATGAATATGGGATGCTTTTCATTTACTGCGACTTTCTCTGATTTCTTTGAACAATTTTTATAGTGTTGTAGAATCAAAACCAAACCTTTCTATAAGGAGGAAAAGTACACATGTGAGCAGGAGCCAGAATCTGTGGGATAAATAAAACTAAACATCACTGGACGAGGCCGCCCGCCTCTCTTTCCAGGGTCCTGTAAAGAGCTCCAGCCCCAGAGGGTCTCACACGCATGTTGTGAGCTACTCCTCCGTGCTACCCTCCCTGGCATCCTTCTCCTGTCTGAAGTGCCCTGGCCCCATGGCAACAAACCTTTTCCAAGGAGGGGCTGCCAAAGCTCTGGATCAGGTTGTTCAGCTCTTTGCTCAGGCGCAGGCTCCAGTGGGTTCCCCTGGTCTTCCGGAGGGAGTTTCTCAGGAACTAGAGAGGTAGAAGACATTGGGGGCAGGGCCCAGGGCTGCCAGCACTGCCCTCAGCTGGTCCCAGGAGTGTCCTGTGAGTCTGAGTAATGCCCTACCCTTCCTGGGCACCACCCCTAGAGCCGAGCCCAGCACTGAAACTCTGGGCATCGTGGCCCAAGCCGGTGAAAAGGGTGCCACTGCCCTGCTCTTCCAGGCATTTGGCTCTTTCGGTCCTGCCCCGCTGATAGCCAGACACGGACGTGACACCTGCCAATTCCTCTCTGACAGAAGGACCCCATGTCCATCAGGGAACCCTAAAGTCCTCACTTGGCAACCTGACCAAGCACTCCCCCCAATAACTCTCTCCCCACCCCTGCTCAAGCCTCCGAAAGCCGGGCACCTGCATGAGCTTGTCCTCCCAGACCTTCTGATTCCAGGTGAATTCAGTGTGCTCTGCAGGGGTGCGCACAGGTCTCATGGGCTGCTCTCCTCTGCTGCTGCCCTCAGGGTACATCTCCTCAGTCTGGGGTCCAAGGACCTCCATGGATAAGCTCATCACCTGTGGCCTTTCCCTTCCCATCTCCCCAGGCTGCTTGGCCAGTTCCCAAGACCGAGGTAGATTCTGCAGGTACACCAAAAGCCTGCGCTCCTGCTCGACCATGACCAACGCTCCAACACAAACAAACAAGAAGGGAGCACCTCACCTTCCAGGTACTGCACCAGCAGAGGGATCTCCTGCTGCCACATGCCGGCCAAGGTGGGCACAATGCTGTGGCTCAGCGTCCTCAGGAGGTTGAGCATAGCTACCCCACGGCCCTCCCCTTTGTAGGGTGATGACACCAGCACCTGGAAGATGCTGGGACATCAGTGGAGCAGTGGTTGGGTGCCCTACTTCCTGTCCCCCCCCCATTGCAAAGTGGGCCATTGGACAAGGTGAGTGGTTTTCAAAGCCTGAGGATCTCCAAGGTGGAGAAGATGCTGCAAGAAGGGGAGGAACGAGGCCAGCTCTAGACTCCGTCTTCCCCAAGCCTTAGTAGAGCACGGATCATGGCCACAGGACATGAGCCACTCCTGGTGCAGCCAGGACCCATGCGGTGTCCTGGGATGATTGGGGCAGAGGGACCTGGGAGCTGTCCCAGCTGTGTCCCAGCTCTTTCTCTTGATCATGCTGGGAATGAGGTGCTCAGGGCAGAGGCCAGGCAGGGCAGGGTCTCATTAGGGCAGGGCACACAGGCTGGCAACTCACCAGGAGACGAGCCAGCAGCTTCTGAGGTGCAGGCAGGTCCACTGAGGAAGGAGACACAACCCCCCTGAGGCTACTTGTCCAGCCCAGCACATGCCCCATTTTGCCCCTGGGGTACTTTACCTTGAAAGACATTTCCTCATTGTGATCCCATTGCCCCCCAGAGGGGAGACTGAGTTGGCACAGGGGACTTTCCCATAAGGAACATTGTTATCATTGACTTATCCAAGGAAGAGCGGAGAACTGCACTCATGGGCTGGGTTCAGAAGGTACTTCCCACTTTGTAGGGATGGCAAGACGCACCAGGACAGTGTCTCCTTCCTACTATAAGCCTCGGTCTCTGCTGAACCAGCAGGAATTAGAGAGCCTGCTCCCACCCTCTCCTGTCCTTTTATCGGCTCTGGGAAGCCATGGACCTGTGCAAAGCAAACCTTCAGCTCATGGATGGATGGATAAAGGAGGGTCAGGACCCCTCAGAAGTCACTGGTGTGGGGACAGGAGAGGGCTCAGCCTGGGACTCAGGGGTGAGGAGGCCATAGGTTTGCTCAAATCCAACTCAGAGAGAGGCCTCTGTCCTTCACCTTCCTTGGTTCTGAAAGCCTTCCTGTCTGGCCACTCGCTGGCCACAACCTTCCCTGCAAAGCTGCTGGCCTGTGGCAGTAGCCCCTGGGATGGGAAGTTCCCAGCAGTGGGAAGTGGTGTGCGGAGTCAGTTTTGGCGAGATCCGTGTTGTTAGTGCCTTCCTTAGGTGGGCCGGGGGGACTTGGGCGGGATGACTACAGTTCTACTAAGTTGTCTCAGAGAGGCTAGAACTGGAGAAAGGCTGGGCAGGAGGCCCAGAGTAGGGCTGGGGACAAGGGGACATGAGGAGTAGGATACCAGGGGGACGTCTGCCCGATGTTAGCATGGCCTCAGATATGGCACATTCTGACTTCTTACTGGAGATGGGGACATTTGCTTTTGGGGCTACAAGGGGAAGGATACAGGGCCAGCCCACCTGCCCGACCCACCAGCTGGCACAGGGTTGCTGCTCACCATGCTTGCCCTTGCCAGCCACACCAGCCTCCTGGTCACTGCTGTGGAGCTGGCACATCGCCAGGTTCGTAAGGCTGACACAGATGGGGGTCAGGGCCTCCATGCAGTCTGTCTCCATGATGTAGCTCAGCAGTCTCATCCAGAACTCCTGGGGAAGGGGCGCAGGGTAAACGCAGGGCACCTCATAGCCACCCAAGGAGGCTGGTCAGGCCCCACCCACGTGTGTGCCCCACAGGCTTGCCCAGAGCTGTCCCGGACCCACTGACTGACAGGCTCAGCCTGGATCTGACCTGCTGGCCTCAGTCTTGTCAGGCACATCTAGGCGGCCTCCACCCAGCTGGGCCTCCCATACACTTGCCCAACCTCCTCCCTGTTCCTGCTTCCCAATCCCACACCCAACACCCAGGGTCCTCCCCTCATCCCAAACCCCCCAGAGCTGAGCGTTGGGCAGATGCCCCTTGCTGGTTGTGTTGGTCAGCTGTGTCCATCAAAAGTGAAACCACCCAGGTGTGCAAACACTAACGGAGTGGTGTTGTCACACAGCTATGATGAAAGCCCCTGATCTCCAAAAGACATCACCCTTGGTAACACAGGTAGGGCTCAGCCAGGCATGTCAGGACCTTTCAAGCAGAAAGCTGAGGTTTCCTAAGGAAGAAGAAATTTTCCCCCAAGATGGCAGCCCCCACCCCTGCTGGCCTCCAGTCTGCTGGCCCAGCTCACGCACTTCACGCTGGGCAGCCCCATGGTGGTGCCAGTCAATTCTGCAAGAAGTAGCTGACGAGATGCATCTTCCTGCTCATGCAGATCCTCAGCGCTGTCTCTAGCTGTGACCTCACCACTGGCTCCACTCTCTTTGGAGGAGAGATCAACACCCCCAGGGCCCGTGGGTTTCCTTCTACCCATGCTACACCCAGGAGTTGTGGGAATTCCTCCGCTGAAGTAGCTACCCAGGTGAGAATCTCAGCTCCTGGGTGCCACCAGGAGGCAGTGTGGTGAGTCAGGAAGGGTGTTTCAGTCCTGGCTCAACTGTTTACCAGCTGTGAGGCTTTGAGCAAGCTAAAGGGTCCTTCTGGGCCCCGGTTTCTTCCTTCACAAAATCAGGGTGATGAAACAGGAGAGCCTCCCTCCCAGTGACAAGAGATGGTACGTGGTTCAGCTGCCACAGTACCTGCTACACGCAGGTCATTATTATTTCTGCACTTAAGGACAGCTGCCACCAGACAGCAGCCTGACTTGGTGCCTCACCATTTGTTCTCTAGTGCTTCCACAATCTATTTCTCCTACCTTATTGCTACCGTTTCTTTTCTTTTCTTTTTTAAAATACATTTTGTACAGAGTCTCACTACGCAGCTCAGACTTGTAGTGATCCTCCTGTTTTCAGCCTCTCTAGTGCTGGGATTACAGGTGGCTCAGCACGCCCGGGGGCGTGTGGTGCCAGGAATCAAACCCCTGTCCCTGCACTTGCCTGAGCAGGTGCTTAGCCTGCTGAGCTATCTTGCCAGCTCCTGCTATGTCATATTCCACTGCAGTTAAAAGTTGATACATTTGTTTCTCCTGTCCCCTGTGCACTCTGTGGGGACATAGTGAGTCCCTGTAGCATGTATCTTCACGTATTTCATACTATGGGAGGAACTTGCTGAATGTTTGTAGTCTTCTTAAACACACACACGCACGCGTGCACAGCTGAACTAAAAGGTCCTTAAAATAACAGGTAGTGCATGTGTGTGTTTAAGAAACAAGGCCGTGGCTCTAGAACTGAGTTTTGAAGGGCACGAGCTCAAGCAAGCAGAGAGGAAGCTTCCCTGATGCCCAGAGGTGAGAAGGAAGGAAAGGGGAAGGGCAGAATTCTGCGCATGCTCAGCGTCCCCCACCCCCACCCCTCAGGTGCAGACGAGGTCCATCAGCTCTGCTGCGTGGCCCACAGGTTGGGGACAGACCCACTCACATTGGCCATGCCACTGACAGAAGATGTTATGATCCTCACGGTGTCCATGGTGACCTTGTGGACCATCTTCTCCTCCAAGTCCTTTTGATAACAGTTTTCCCGGTGATTTTCCTGGAAGGCAGAACCCAGGAAGCCCTGCTGGCAGGCTGGCAAGGAACTGCCACAGTGTTAGGACAGTGTCTCCCCACCCCAGGGGCTCCGTGCCTAGACACTGGATCTCAAGCATGCTTGGGCATGGGCTTCCTGCCTAGGAGCCTGCGCCTATCCTGTCCTGTCTCTATACTTACAGCATGAATGGCTCTGTAGGCTGACACAGGAGGCATGGTCAGAATATGGGGTGAATGTTTAAATTAAGCAACATTTATGACAGTAAGACACACTGCAGCTAATTCCCCTTAAAGTACATCCTTGGTTTTTGAATGCCCCTCTACCATTGTTCTTGTCACTTCCTGAAGCAGTTTGGGAAGTCTTTTCAGAGTGTCTCTATAAGACATTAAAAAAAATATTAGTAAATGCCACTGCCGAGCCCCAGCCGACAGAAAGGCAGGCTTGTGAAAGCACCATGGCATGCCTGCTCCACTCTCCTTAGCAGGTCTGGCACCCTGTGTCTTGTGGTTCTTCTGCAAAGTTAAAATGTCTGTGAAAGGTACATATTTTTACTTGAGGCAAGACTTCTAAAGCTGCTGCAGAAAGCTGCAGGGACGGTGGGGCAAGTTCGTTGAAAGAAAGGGAAAGTATTTTGATGGGGATTCATAGTGATGTGTGATTTGCTGTCGTACATTTTAAAAAATGCAAGCACTTGATGAATGTTAATGTCACCCTGTGCAGGTACACTGGTAAGCACACTTGGTCAGCTCCTTGGAGACTATTCCTGAACAGCAGCTGTCAGGTGGGGCAGGGTGGGGCCACTCACCAGTCTGTAGGTGGACAGGGTCAGCTGCACAGACACGTACTTCAGGCCCCAGCCTTTGATTCTGTCCTGGTAGCCGGACTGAGCCAACTGGCCAATGATGCGGAGAATAGCCACTCTCACCTGAGGGGACCAGGCTGTGGGCAGGGGGCTCTGTGCCTAGCGCATGCCAGTGATGTGAGACACCTAGCAAGGGGGTGCTCTGGGCTGGGAAAGTGCCAAGGGCCAGCTGGCCACTTACACCCCCTATATCATCTCCCCTCTCCTCCTCTGGGGTCCCCCTCTGCCTTGTGCCCTGAGTGAGCCTCACCTGGCTCTTTCAGAGCCCCGTAAGCCCTCACTCCTCTGCCATGTGCTGCCCCCCCAGGGCCGTGGTAGAAAACCCACCCTTTATCCACTTTTTACAGTGGGACCCACTGCATGGAGGTGCAAGGCTAGCTGTCGCTGTCTGCTCAGCTGCTCTGTCCCAGTCTCCTGCCCTAGCACCCCACTTCTTCATTGAATTCCTCAGCCCCAAAAAACACTTCCTACACTGCAGCCAGACTCCAAGATACACTACATGCTAACAGGGGCTACCCTGGAGCCGGGTCCCCTCTGCCACTTTTGTCACATGCAGTGAAAAGCCCTGCACCAGCCAAGCATGGTGGCACACACCTGTAATCATAGCACTCTGGGAAGCTAAAGCAGGAAGAATCTCAGTTTGAGTTTACTAAGTTTGGAAAACTTAGTAAGGTAGGGAGATCTTATCTCAGAAGAAAAACTATACAAGGGCTGGTGAAGTAGCACCATGCTAAGGGCCTTGGTTCAGCAAGCAGTACTGCAAAACAACCAAATGGCCCATGCGGTGTGGCCCGGCCAGCTTCCCGGCCTCTCCTCCAGCAAGGTTGGAGCTTGAGGCTCAGGTCTAGCAAACTCTAGGTCTTTGAATGGAGGAGGGCCCTAAGCGGAACCGCAGTGCCTGCTGGGTCCTGAGAGAAGCCAGATTGCTGTCAGATGCCTCCACCTCCCAGAGCTGCGCATCATGCCCCAGAGGTCCCTGCCCTGGTACCTTGGAGCGGGTATCAGAGAGGGAGTTCTTGACCACCCGGATGGCCAGGCTGATGGTCCTGATATTCATTCTGGGCTCTGGAAAAGAAGACAGCCAGAAGGGGGTGACTCGGAGATATCAAGTGGCTCGGCCCTGTCACCTCAAGTACAGGCCTCTCCAATACCTTCAACACTTAGGGCCACTTTCTTATGACCTCCCCTGGGGTCCCCAGGCCCAGCCTCTCCTTTCAGTCCCCACAGCAACAGTGCCTTCCCTAGGACCTGGGTGAGGCGTGGACATTGTTTTACACCTTGTTCCCTGGATGCCCCCTAGGGAAGGTCTCATTTGACCCCATTGCTCTCCCCCAGAGCCCTGCACAAGGTCCCCGCAGCCAGGCACCCTGCTCTGGGCACACCAGTCTGCAAGCTCAACTGTCACGAGCGTGGACCCGCAGCCAGGCAGGCTGGTTCGAATCTAGCACGCCGACCATCGGGCCTCCTCTGTGCCATTGCTTCCCCATCTGTGCCCTGCGAATGGCCAAAGTGCCTCCCTCACCAGGCTACTGGGAGCCGGAACAAGTGAGCCTGGCACACTGCAGGGCCAGGGGCGGAGGAGGCTCGCTCAGGGAGGGAGGAAAGAGCCCCGAGAAGGTCCAGGAGCAGTCTGGTATTGCTGCGGCTATATCTAGACACCACCGAAACCTCACACACTCGTAGGTGGAGGTTTCCAGAGGGGGTGAATCTCGAGTGTGCAAATATGGACTACAGGTGCGTGATAATGGGCTCAGTCCACTGACTGGAATGGCATGGCCCCAGATGGAGCCTGAGTGCATTCACACCCTGGCTGTGGCTGGTGCCAACCAACAGTTTTGTAGTCTAGGCAGAAAATGAAGGGAAAGGGAGGCTGCTTCTGTACAGCTGCTCCCTGCCTGCCTGCCTGCCTGCCTGCCTGCCTGCCTGCCTGCCTGCCTGCCATGGGCTGGTTCTGCTCTACAATGTCCCTCAGCCACCCAGTGCTGCCTCAGAGCCAGGTAGCTATGGACTGAAACTGCTACAGGCTGGGAGCCACAATAAGCCTCTCCTTTTAACTTAGGTGTTTGGTATTTAGCCCAGCAAGGAGACATAACTAAGACAAGTACAGAGAGTAGGAGACAGACAGGTATCCAGGTTAAGGTTGCGATCAGGCATCACAGAGTCAGTGCTGGGGCAGGAAAGAGCCAGCAGCCCCAGGGCAATGGAGGCTGAGGCCGGAGTGCTGGCAAACCCACGCCTAGCTCGGACAACTTAGCAACCGTGTAAGGCCTTGTCTCAAAATAAAGGACTGGGATATAGCTTGGTGCAAAGGGCCTGGCTTCTAACCATAGTGCCACCAAAAAAAAAAAAAGGAAAGGAAATGAGGACAGGTGGGCCAGACAGGTGGGCCAGACAGGTGGGCCAGCCGCAGGTCATCAAGCACGAAGGGAGAAGGGATTTGGGGATTTTATCTGAGATGGAAACTTATTTCTGATTATAACTGCAACTTGAAAATAAGAGACAATTACTTGTAATAGATTAGGTGTGCAACCTTCTAGAAGAGTTCATGCGCATATGAACCTGGGTTTTCTTCATGTCACTGAGGTCTAGGCATACTGTGAAGTTCTACTTAGTACGGAAAGGGCAGTATTTCCATGAGAAAGTGTAGATGGACTACACCCTCCCCGGTGGTTATGTAATATTCATTATGCAGCACACTATCGTTTACCCCAAAATTCCCTACAGAACGCATTTAGGCAGTTTCTAAGGCTTTGCTTCAGCACAAGGAAGGATTGCTTCTGCCCAGTCATCTCCGGGCAGCTGCCTCCTTTTCACAGCCAACAAAAAGTTGGAACATTGAGCCCAGAGTTTGGCCCCTACTGAACTGAGCACATAGAATCGTCTGTGGTGGATTGACAGCTGGTGGTCAGCTTGTAACACCCGGCTGAACTGAATTAGTGTGACGCTGGCTGTGGAAGGGCCCCCTGAGGGTGACTGTCACCAACATAAAAAGGAGAACTGGAGAGGGACAACTGGGGCCTGTTGATTTTCCTGGAGAAGCTTGTCGCACTGACTTTCCAGACATGAACTCAGCTGTTATCAGTGGAGGAGCTCAGGACCTAGCTGTTCTTTTCCGGGAGTTTTGGTTCTTACTTTGAGTGGCACTTACCTCGCTCTAGTGCAAACCCCTTCAGCCTGCAGCCACAGAGTACAGTTGCAGGCTACCACCAGAGGGCGCTGTGTTTGCATTCACACTGGTGCCTGAGCTAGTGCCTCAGTTAGGCTGGTGGCTTCTGTTGATACCAAGGCCAGGTTTGGAGTTTGCATTTGGGGGTTAGAGCCAGAGGTTGAGGGTAGGAATCCAGTCCAGGGGACGCTAGGGTTTTGCCCTCATGGTCTAGTAGGCCTTCAATTTTTGCTTTCCCTCTAGAGTTTAGCAGCAGGTTCCAGGTTTGCATATCAAAAGCAGCAGGATGGGGTGGGAGGATGGGCCACATTGCTAAGTTCAAAGTTAGGAAACATGAAAGAGCCCAGAGACCTTGTTCCCTTGGCCTGCCCAGCAGCGCTCATCATCCAAGGGGAAGGGGCTGTGGCGGGAGGTGAAAGGGGAACCGCCCTCACCCACCTCCCGCCCACTCTTGCTCTCACCTTCTGCGCTCACCACGGCCTTGATCAGGGACAGCGTGGCCACGCAGGTGGCCTCCTTGCCTGTCTCCACCTGGCCCAGGAAGAACCTCATCAGCTCCTTGGGGTAGGAGCGAGCTGTGGGGAACGAGTGCTCCGGTCAGCCTAGTGCTCAGGGGCTCCTGGCGGAGCTGGAGGCAGGCAGGTCCACCCCACTGACCCTCAGACCCTCACCTAGGGCCACAAAACACTGCACAGTCTCCACCAGGTTCTGGTTGTTGTACTGGTGCACAGCTGGGCCTTTGCTACACACCTGTGCAGGGAGAGGTGAGGAGGCTGGAGGAGGCCAGGGAGGGGCCAGGGACACAGGGACAGCCCAGCCCAGCCATGTCTGCATCCTGGAGGAGGCAGGAGGCATGCCAGGGAGCTAGAGACCAGGCCTCCTGCTACAGCCCAACCCGCTCATGTCCCCCACAGCCAAGCTCACAGGCCCCACCTGGGAGTGCAGTTCCATGAAAATGGGATGGAGCTGCATTCGGGGGACAGGGGTGTTGGTGGTGACCGATGCTTCCAGAATCTGTCTCAAGACCTGCAAGGGATGCAGTCCTGGTTGTAAGTGATCTTCAACCAATGCAGGTCAAGCACCAGGGCTTTGTAACCTCAGGGTGCCTGCAGCCCCTGGCCTTCCCAGACCTGCTGACCTGACCCTGAATCCCACAAGGTCCAAGTGAGTGTCATGCTCAGTAACCCTCAGGAGGGGCTGCCCTGAGCCACTGAGCGCAGCATTCAGGACCTTTCCTACCCTTCTTTCCTGGGATGAACTTGGAGACGAAGCCCACTTTTTAGGCAGAATCTACAGGCGGTTCCCTCAGTCTGTTCCATCCGCCTCTTGCTTTTATACCCCAGGTCCGTGGCTTGCTTGAGGGGGAGCAACCCCTTTACAGTGTGCAGTAGCCCAGGCCACACATCCCATTGAACCTCCCATGTCCTCCTGGTCCACATCAACTTGGATTCAGAATGTGACCTCATTTAGAATTAGGTGTGATGAGTTAATGTAAAACTAAACATAAAAATTACTCTGTTCAACTTTCTGTGACCCTGCTTCCTTGTAAGACTGCAAAGAGGCTTGGTGTACTGTCAATAAATCATCAACAGACTGAGAGTTCCCAGAACAGACCTACAAAATAAATTAAAGTAAAGGTTGAAGTGTTTCTAACTGTACCAAATAACTAAGGTGTTGCTAACCAACTGGAAAGCGCTGCTGCGGTAGTCAGGACCATGTGCGCGCAGATGTATGTTAAACGGGAACTAAACAGTGCTCCCAGAAAGAATGTATGCTGAGTGATGGGCACGCTGCCCCTGAAGGTGCTGTTCTGTATTAAATGACAAATTTGTTTGCCAAACAGGATGTGGTTTCTAGTTTTAAAACCTCTGTGCTTCTAAGGTTCCTCGCCGTTTGTCCTCTCTTGCGTGAGTGTGGTTGAGCGGTCCTGGGCCTGGTCATATAAGTCTCATAAATTTTAATATTGGATTCTGGTTTCTAGGTTAAGAACCCACAACATTAGGGCCTGTGTACATGAAATCAGTCAAGGACCTTGAGACCCTGTGGTCTTAGTTACAGCAGCCGTAGATTTTATCCAAAGACCCCTTTTCCATGCATTAGAGAGTGCTCCCATAAGCCCCGCAAGTTCCAGGCATAGGGCGGATGTTGGGTCTGTTGCATCTCTCCCTTCCCCCACCAGCTGACACCCCAGATTCTGGAGCCTCCCACCAGGGTGCGGCAGCCACCCCCACCTGCGTGATGAAGAGCGGCTCCAGGCTGCTCTGGTACTGGGCCAGCAGCAGGGGGACATAGTCATACACCTGCTCCCGCAGGTCATCGTTGGGCAGCAGGAGGCTCAGCATGGGCTTCAGGGACTTGATGACCCCCACCTTCACCTGACGCAGGAAATGGGGCCACAGCATGCCGAGCAGGGTCAGTGACTTCTGCTGCATGCATAGAACCCAAGGACTGCCACAGACGGAGCCATGGAGGTGGAGTCAGGACTTCCCCCCGGGGTCGGGAACTGGCATGATGGGGTGAGTCCCACCTCCAAGCCAGGTGCCCTCCTTATGCCTGTTTTCTTATCTGTGAACTAGTCCTACATGGTGAGTGGGCGGTGAATGGGCCCCATGCACAAGCTTGCCCGCCTGGTCCGACTCGGTCAGGAGCAGGGTGATCTGTTCCTCGTATCCCTGGCTGTATCAGACTGGCTCCCAAGGCAAGTCCCATGGGTCCCGGGTGCCACCCGCAGGCCTGTGCTCTCTGAAGTCCCTTCACATCTTCAGCTCCACAGCCTAGGGCGCCTCTAAGAGGGTGCATCTCACCTCGGGGCTGGGATGTCTCAGCCACACAGTCACAAAGTAGCGATACATGGGGAACAACTTCACGGCAAACTGCTCCTCGGTCATCACAGGGTACGTGCTGTCCTCCAGGTGCCTCAGGTAACACTGCACCGCCTCACAGAAGGTCTCTACGGCTATGGGGAAGGGGGAGGCAGGTGGGGCCGGGAGCTGGAAGCAGAGCCAGAACATGGGCCCGCATCGTGCACTCTCTGCTCTCCACCTACATGGCCCCCAGTGCACTTATCTGAGGGTGAGAGGTGAGCTCACAAGTGTGCCCTGGAGGACACAGGGTCAAAGGCAGGACCTATGCCCGGGGGACTCCAGTGCACAAGGCAGCAAACACACTTGACTCACTTTCCTGGGCACCAGGATTTCTCAGCCCACAAAGATGTTAAGTCATCCAGGGTTTGGGGGTAACACCTGCACCCTCAGCACTCTGAGAGCTCAGCTCAGGCAATTTAGCAACTTAGTCAGATCCCATCTCAAAATAAAATAAAATGAAAATAGAAAAGAACTTGGGGTACATGTGGTTCAGTGCAAAGACTCTGGGTTGAAGCCACAGGATTTAAAAATAAAGGTGAAGTAATTAAGTCTTGGGATGACTTCATCAGACTTAGACAGCATCAGAGACTTGGCCAGTGCAAAGTGAGACATCTGTCCTCATCTCTCCCTCTGATAATGTGCACTCCCTTCTCTGGTCTCCCAAAATGCTCAGCCACAGTGTAAGCCATGTGGACTCACAGTGCTCCCCCAACTCCAGCCATGATCTATGAATCACCCACAGGACCCAGCCCTAGCTCCCAAGAGAGCCGGTCAGAGACCAGAAAAGCAGGAATCTGAGCTAACGTTCGTGAATGAAGATGCAACATACCTCTCATTCAGCAACCCCACCCCCTGCCTCCTCCTCCAACACCCTGATCAAGCCAGACCTGCAGGCCCAGGGAGTCACGCACCACCGCAGATCACCTGGCGCATCTTGGCTTCCTCAGCAAGTCTCAGCATCGTGAAGATTGTGGCCAGGGTGATGCCCATGTATGGCATAAACTCAAATACTGTGGGGTGGGGAAGGAGTCACAGGGCATCTTCAGGGTCAAGGCAGGTGAGCCAGGAGAGCCAGAGAGGACAAGCCCTTTACCACTGCCTCCAGATCTCTGACGGCCCAGAGCTGCGAGTGTTGTCCCTGGCTAGGGTCACAGGAAGTTGTGTAGGAGTCAGGCACGGCTGGCAAGCATGAGCCAGAAGTGGGTTTGGGGGAAAGGATGGGGAAGGAAGAGAAAGGACAGAGGGGCCTGTAGGGGGCGCTAGAGGGAGGCTGGGGGAGAGGGACACACCACCCTAGGAAGGAGCTGCCCGGAAGTAAGAAGAGAGAAGGCCTTAGACCAGCAGCGGAAGAGAGCAGGCAGAAGTGAAGATGGAGGAAAGAGAAATGAAAGAAAGGAAAGTCCCATCCTGCCCCAGGGACCACCCTTCTCCAAGCCTGACATGCAGTCTTGTGGACAGGTGGCCCCTCTTCTTGAGGCCTGACTGCTGTGAAACGACATAGATTTCAATCGTATGATAAACTCTCTCTTTGCCTGCCTGGCTGGGTCATTCTTTCTAGGTACCTCAGGCCTGCTGCACCCCTTTTTCTCTTTCTAGCCCCGCCAGGCCTCTACTCCAGCACACAAAGAGATTCATCCATGGTCCCCCTTCTGCAGCTTCATCTCGCTGGTGCCTTTGGCAGCACCGCATACAGCGGACACCTCGCCCTGCCCCTGTGGCACGGCATCCTGGCTTATAACGTCTTATAACGTTGCCATTGGAGCGATCTGGGTTCATCAGAGATCACGTCTCCAACTTTGAATCTGTATTTTCCTCCCAGGCCAGTGATATGCATAAGACGCTTTGTGGTGGTTCAGGGCAGCTCCAGGCAGAGCCATGGCTGCCCCGACCCTCACTGTGGCCAAGGGCAGTGGCCAGGGCCCTGCAGTGCCCTGCGATGCAAGCCGCAAGGGATTCAATGTATTTTAAATATGATATTCCCAACCCATGAGGACCCTGTCAGACAGAGCCCTGCTCAAGTGAAAAGCACCTGTCTTTTCCTTCTGGCCTCAGTGTACCACCCTGCCTCCTTCCCCTCCGACTACTCCAAGCTGGCCCAGGTCATCTCCTCTACTTCCCTCCCCAGGTGTCAGTGGCCTCAAACACCTCTGCAGTCTGACACTGCCCAGCGAAGCCCACAACCTCTGGGTCTGCTTCCAGAGAAACTCACTGCCCCACACCCCGGGCCTCTCTGCTGGGACATCACACCAAACCAGATTATACACTGGAGACCTCTGGCTCTCTCCCAGCATTCCCTGCTTCAGGAAAGGAGCCCACAGCCCACAGCCACTTGCTTCCTCTGTGCCTTCCTCCCCACGCAGTTTACCAGACCTGCTTCACAGCTGTTCTTTGTGCACCAGGGCCCCTGCCTCAGCCCTGCTATCAGCCATCATGGCTCTCCTACGGTGATCTTGCCAAGTGCCCTGCAGACCTGAGGGTCTCCCCACTACTCACTCATGGCCCCTTCTGAGGACAAGAGCCATATTGTGAGCCAATGTCCATCTCAAGGTCCATATTTAGGAATAAAAAGAGAACTGGACTTAGGAAGGCAGAAAACAATGAGGCAGGGGAGAAAGGCAAGGGGAGAGGAGGGGCAGGAGTGAGAGAAAATGAAGGAGACAAAAGAGAGGCAGAGGCAGAATCTGAATAGTGGGGACAGGCAGAGGCACCTGGAGATGAAAAGGAGAAAGAAAAGACAGGAATGGAAAGGGAGGCTTGGAGGCCGAGGCAGAAACAGAATGAGATGGAGGACACGAGAGCCCCAGGGGGATCTGAGCAGCAGAAGCTGGGGTGGGGACCTCAGGGCCTACCATTGCCATTGGCCAGCTTGGCCAAGGTGACAATGACAAATTCGTCAGAGAGACTGAGGGGCTTGAGGTGGTGCTGCAGCTCATACATGACCAAGTTGAAGTGGTTCCGTGATAGGGCCACCAGGGTGTCACTGGCCACTTCTGCTTTCACATAGCCCTCCATCTGCAGAGGACATGTGCAGGGCCACCATCAGCTTGGCCTTCACGACCTCCCCTACCATCACACTAGCTCCATCCTCCTGACTCTTTGGGCTCCACCTGCCTAGGCCCTGGGAGGTGACCGGGCAAGGCTGTGGGGCCGCCCAGGCCCACCAGCAGCCCAGCTCTAGGATGGGCAGAGCGAGGACCCAGTAGGGCCGGCGCCCCACTACCTCCGAGAGCTCCCTCATCTCCTTGGAGGCGACAGTGACCAGCCTCTGCACACACTGCTCCTCCAGCTCCCCTTGCTGCTGGATGATCTCCTGGAGAATGCTGTAAATGGTGACCTTGCGCTGGGTGGAAATCTGGGAAGCAAAAAAGATGGATGCGAAGACTGTGGGCTGGGCCAGCGGATGTGAGGTAGGCTCCGCCCTGCCCTGGCACTGCAAGCCCACTTCCCAGCCCTCCCTTCCTGTCTGGCGCAGGCAACCGCCACTCTCTACCCACCCAATCTCAGAAGCAGACTTCTCTCCCCCTTCATTTCCTCCTACCTTCCCCGAATTCCTCCTACTGGCCCCACTGATGTGACTTGCAAATCGACCCTCTTTTCTGTCTCAGTTGATGCTAAGCAAGGCAGGTGTCAAACAGCTCACACTGCAAGGTCCTTGACACCAGCCATCTTGGAAGCCTAAGAATGCAGACTTTGCCCTGGCAAGGGAGTGTGTCAAACCAGGAGCTTTGTCTCTTCCTCTCTTTTGATTCTCCATGGGCAGCGCTGACCACTATTTAAAATGACCCAGCTTACAAAAAGGTTGGACAGGCGGGTTATGCACCGGAGACTGCACCTGCATAGTGCTGTTTGCATGCAACTCTGGCTTGCTCAAGTGCGACAAGCCATGCTTCAGGAAGAGCCTCTGTGCCCAAGGACCTCTGCTGCCCACCACGCCCTTGGGGGAGGCCCAGAAACCTTAGCAGATTTGGGGGCCCCAGGAAGAGAAGAATTCATTCAAATTTATGGCAAAAATCCACTACAGAAATCTTAGTCTTGATTACCTAGTCATGGTATAGCAAATAATAAAGAGCGATAAGATTTGGCCAGGGATTCCTTCTGATAGTGCCTGAACAGAAGTTACTTCTGGGGCCTTAGCAGCTACTCTGTCTTGCATGGTTCTAGCCCAGTGTTCCTCAGCTTCACTGTGATTTCATTTTGCCTCCCAGGGAGGCTTTGTAGACATTCTCCCCAGTTCAACATTAATAGCATGAGTATACTGTACATACGCTGGTATGCGCACCTGCGTTTCGTATATTGAAAAGTGGAGTCTCTTGCTTCCTCTTGAAGGCTGTAAGACCTCACGGAGAATGTGTGCTCTAGGTTGCCAAAACATGCTTAGGAAGGCCTCGATGCCTAACTAGCGCACTTTACATAAAGGTCTAGGCAAATCGCCAGGCCAGCCTTTTGTGATCAAGGTTAGTCTTCAATAAACAGGTTCACAGTGCTCAAGAAATGGAGCCAACCTGAACGCCCATCAGCAGATGAGTGCCGAGGACAAGTGCTCTGTGTGTGCAGTAGGATATTAATCAGGCATAAAAGGATGAAAGCCTACTGAGGACCACATGGATGGGCCTGGTGGACAAAGCCTGAGTGAACCAACCCAGACACAGAGAAACAAGTACTGCATGGTCTCGCCCACAGGTGGGTGCTAAGCGCTGCTTTCTGAGAAGCTGAGAGTTAAACGGTGGCTACCAGGTCAGAGGGGAGGAGGGGGAAAGGAGGTGGAGGAGGGGATGGTCAGGGGTGCAGTGGCATGCTTGAGAGGAGGAATGTGTCCTGGTGTTCTGGTGCACAGGAGGGTGGACAGAGCCAGCAAGGCTACATTGCATAGCTTGAAAGAATTGTATGAGAGGATTTTGAATATACTCATCTTACAAAAATGATAACTTTAAGGTGATGAATATGCTAATCATTCAATCTGATTGTTGTAAAATATATACAGAAGTTGGAGCATCACACTGTATCCCAGAAATATGTACAATTATTATGTATTGATCGGAAGGAAGGAAGGAAGGAAGGAAAGAAGGAAGGAAGGAAGGAAAGAGAGGAGAGGGAAGGAAGGAAGAGGAAGGGAAGGAAATAGTAAAAAAAAAAAAGAAGGAAAGAAGGGTTTTTGGATTCTATTTATGATCACAACAGAAAAACTGAAAAGCTTGAAGTTGGCCAAAGTGATCACCAAGTGACCTTCAGCGAGCGCTTGGTGCTGCCCAACAGGGGCTCTGGAACCATCAGGCTTTGCTTTTTGTGTGTGTGTGTGGTATCAGGGATCAAACTCAGGACCTTGTGTTTGCCCAGCAGGTGCTGATGCCGCTGAACTACATCCCCAGTCCACTTTGCTTGAGTTTGATCACCTACTCTATTTTACAGCTTTGTGAGGATAGAGGTCAAATTATAGAAAACTTTAAAGTATTCAAATGTTCTTTACATAGCAGTAAAAATGATTCTCGTTCAAGATAATGAAAATGGATTTGTCTGATAAAGAATATAAATCTCTACAGGTCATATTCTCATGTGTACAGTTTTTAACATTTTACTGGTTCTTAGTTAATTACATCTCTTATTTTTTTATTTTTTGGCAGAAGTGGGGATTGAACTCAGACCCTTCCACTTACCAGGCAAGTACTTATTCTACTGAGCCATCTCCCTGGCCCTCTTAGCTAATTAAAGAATGAATAAAAGAGTCTTTGAGGCATGATAATTTTTTCTTAAATGTATTTAGTACTGGGTCTACAGGGTCTCATTACACGGATTAGACTCTAGTGATCCTTCCTGTTTTTCAGCCTCCCAAACACTGGGATTACAGGTATTTAACTGTAATCACCATGCCCAGTCTCAAGCGCCATTGCAGTGTGTCCTGGGGTGGGCCTGGTATGGCAGGTTGGTGATTGAATCCCAGTCCTGCATCTGCCTAAGCAAGCCCTTAATCTGCTAAGCTACCTGGCCGGCCCTGAGGCACATCAATTGTTTAAAACACGCCTACTTGTCTACTGTTTATTGCCACTCATCTCGGCTTGAGGTCTAGGTATTAATCATTCATTCTTTTCTATACTTTTTTGCCCTTGTATTTGGGAACTACTGATCCTGGAGAGGCTGCCTTCCCAGAGTCAGCCAGCTCCTAGAGAGAGACAGAAGTTGCCCCAATGCATGCTTTTCCAGTACAAAAGCCAAATAAAACCAACAGGCCTGAAATGTATTCTCTCAGAAATGGTATGTTGCAGCCCAAGCCCAAGTCGCATGCCCTTGGAAATGGATCTTTGGGAGATAACTGGCATTAAGTGAGGTCATGAGAGTGTGACCTTCATCCCCAGGGTTGATGTCCTTATCAAGGAGGTGGAGGCAGAGGAGCTGTCTCTCTCTGCACCTGCACACAGGAAGAGCCTTGTAAGGATGGTGACAGGCACTGCCTGCAAGCTAAGGGGCGCTCTGCAAAATCCGAATGTGTGTAACCTTGGCTGAGGGCTTCTGGCTCCAGCACTGTGAGAAAATGCATTTCTGCTGTATAAGTCACGCAGCCTGTGGCACTGTTAGAACAACCTGGGAAGATGGAGACATCAACTGTCCAGAGCCCATAGTCCCTCCAAGTGACTCCCAAGCCCACTGGGTCACAAGATGAGGAGTTTTCAATGGGAATGCCTGAGGCCCCTGGGGAGGCATCTCTCCATGTTTTCCCCCTTTGTAGGCCACCATCTGCACGTGTCTGTGACAGCTGAGTGTGCTGTGCAGTGGATGTAGATACCACCCACTATGTGGACATACAAGCAGTCAAAGCTGCGGAGCTCCAAGGAGGGCATTGCCCAGGGGAGGTGGCCCTACCTCCGGCATCTGCAGGGAGCGAATGAGGGCATTCATCACCACAGAAGGCTCGGTGGCGGCTTTGTCTGTGATTATCACTGAGGCCAGGGTCTTGCGCAGGTCTAGACCTGCCCCCTCCGTGTCCAACTTCACTGACTCACTGTCCATGATGTTCAGGAGGTTGGTAACTTGTTGGAAGGTAGCTGGGACAAAGATGACACAGCTTAGACCCTCAGGAGTTGCTCTCTGGCCTCCCCTATGCATGCAAGGCCCCAGATTCCCTCGTTTAGATGGAGAAGCTGAGGCCTGGACTGGGACCGGCTGCCTCTGAGGAGAGAGTGACGAGGACGGCAGGGAGGCAGGCATGTGGTAACCTCCTTACCGTCTGATTTGGGAGGTTGTAGCTCCCCTGTTTCCTCCAACCCCTCTGCACTCAAGTCTGTTGCTACTCCTGCCATCTCCTCTTCAAGCTCTTCTGAGACAGGTGAGGTTTGTAAAATACTCAGGGTGGCCACGCACCACAAGGTGACCCCCACAGATTCACATTCTTGTTTAATCGTTTCCCCTCGAGTGTAGGCAGCACCTGTGACTTGATTCTAACCAGCACAATATGGCAAAAGTGACAAAGTGTCCCATCTTGGCTGGATGACATTATATGGCAACATCTGTGGGAAGTCCCTCCCTTGAGCAGGTGACACTGTGTGGCAACACCAATGAGAAGTCCCTCCCAAGATTACATTATCAGTGTAAGACTCTGTCTTAGCAGAGTAGGAACAGATATTCTGCCAGCCAATAACCAGGATGCCAATGTCCACAGAGGGGCCACTGGGTGAGGAGCTTGGGACCTCTGTCACAAAACCATAAAAAACTGAATTCTGTCAACAACCACAAGTGCTTGGAAGAGGACCCTGAACTCCAGAGAAGAATGTGGCCCAGCTAAGACCTACACTTCACCCTCTAAGGCCTGGAGCAAAGGACTCAGCTGAGCCATGTCCAGACTGCTGGCCCCCAGAAGCCAGAGATAATGACAAGGTGCCCTTGCAAGCCCCCGGGCCAGTGGCAGTGTGTTGTGCAGTGATGGAAGGTGAATGCAAGAGCCCGACTCTGCAAGACATTGAAAACTCATGACCGGCTGATCACTGTCCATGATGACCAAAACTAATGAACTCAGCCACTTTCTCTTTCCTCACAAGGGCTCTCTCAACACCCCTGCCATCCCAAAGGGTGACAGATACCAGCACAGCACCAAGATAAAAGATCGACAGCTCTATGGCTCTTTCTCTTCCTGTCCCAAGTTTCTCTATCCATAAGGATCAGAGCCTTCCTCCACCCTATGCTTTTACCCTCATGGGAATCGGTAAAGACCTATTTTGGGATGGAAATGCTGACCTTTCCTCAGAGGCCTCTTCTGGCTAGAACAAGGATACACCACAAGATAAAGCTCCGTCCTTTGCCTAATACACATCGAAGGGGATATGGGCAATGGCAGGGCCAGTTGTTGAGTGGGACAGTTGGGCACCTCTGCTGTTGTTCTCTTGAGGAGCCGTCTTCTGGCAGGGTGGGTGAGTTTAATTAGAACCAGCACCGTTAGATCCCAGACCCTTGGAACTTTGAGATCCAACTGCCTCCCCGAGTCTCTGTCAGCCCAGGGCTGATAAAAGAGTACACGGGCCCTAGGACAAAACTCCACATCATGTTGTCATTAAGCATGTCTGTTACCATGTATCATAGGTGTGCTACATGGTGGTCTGTCTATGAAAGGGTAATGGTGGGGAGTGGATGACTTGAACCCAAGTCCCAGGGGACAGAGCCCAACATGGAGAGAGGAGTTTGGGGCAGTGAGGAGAGAAGGAGATGGTAGAGAGGCTGGAGGGAAAGAACACTCCTTGCCAAAGATTGGATGTGTGTGGTACGGGGAACCCTTAGAAGATAAGGAAGCTCAGAAAGAGGCAGGAAACAGTTGTCTTGCCTCCCTGAACCAACAGTATTTCCCTATTACTTGCAGCTAGACAGATAGTCTGGATCAGTAGTTTTCAGAATGAAATGTCACTGTGTGGGGAACCTTTCTGAGCATTACAGGTCAATAAAATGAGACTCAGAGCCACGGCGGGCTGAGGCTCCTTCGGCAGAAAGTCCACTTAAAATTTGCCCATCCTGAGCTTTGGCAGAGTCCTTCAGCCTCTGGTTGGTCACCTCTAGTACCAGAGAACTCATTCCCTCAGTAGCAGCCCATTCAAGGAATTTGAGCAGTTAGAAAATGAACTTCCTGTCTGTCATACCAAAAAAACCCCAAATCTTTCCAACTAAACTCCAGCAGTTTCTAGTTTTGCCCTTTGGAGAGCCCATTGGTCAATACAGAATAGACACAGGAAGACAATCATCATGTGCCTCTTCTTCACAACTGCTCTGAGCGGCCCACTCCCACTGCCCTCTGGCCCTTCATATCTCCTTCAGGGATTGCTCAGGTTCCGCGGTTGTAAAATTCCTCATATGCTCACTGCATGCCTACCCTGTGCAGCTAGTCATGGTTCTCCATGTCTGTGGGATGTATAGACAGATGGCCCAGGTACATCTGCATTCTCTGTGGGCCTTTATATTTGACATATGAAAGATCCTGGACTCGGAGCCGGAAGCGAATGTGTCAGCAACTGCTGTGTAACAAATCACCCCCAGACTTCATGACTGAAAACAAGCTGCTACTACTATCCACTAGTGCGCATGTTAGCTGCACACGGTTCTGCTGACCCGGGCTGTATCCAGCCAAGCACACTAGGAGTCACTTACGTGCATGTGGCCAACCAGCTGAGGGCTGGCTGTTGGCAAGCTGTTGGCTGAAGTGACAAGGTGACTGAGGTTCCAGTTAGCTAGATTCCAGGAGAGTGCATAGATACCTGAGGATTTCTGTGGAGGACACCTGGGCGACTCTCCTTGAAAGAAAAGCAGCTGTCTCCATGTTGGCGGAGCCTGACCCTATTTCCATGTATTGATATGCACAGAGCTGGCCAGGACTTTGCCTGATCCCTTCAATTGGCTTTAAGCAGTACATACTGGCCTAGTCGAGGTGCTGGGGGTGGTCTTTGAAGACAGCACATGTGTTTCCCTGATAACCCACACCTGCTGCTCATTAATGTGAGCTGGGTCGAGACAGGACAAAGAGTCAGTGTGCCACACTGTTGGCTGGGATCAAGCCTCGAGACAGAGGCTATGACTTCCTGGGGCTTGAAAGATTATGCATTAGAGCTGAAGTGCTGGACCCCAAAACATTAGACACTATCTCAATAATATAATGCAAATTACTTTTCTGTATATCCTTCTCTGCATACCGCAGAGGTGACTGCAGGCCTTCTCCCCAGCCCAGCTCACAGCGCTCGCCTACTTCCTGCCATGCTCAGTCACTCATCCTCAAGCCACTCCTCCTTCATGACTGAACAGAACCCAGATTCAGCCCTGGGCCGAGGCTGTTGTTCCAGATAGCCATCGCCATGGCTGGGCTTAGGCCCCTGGGCTCCCTGTAACTATAAACGTGCTTTAGAGTCTTTATATTTGCTGTGGGTTGCACTGGGAGTGGTAGATTGGAATTAACTTGGTGAGATTCCAATAACGTATCTTTGGGATTACAAATATAATCTTCTTAGATTGAGACAAGGACCAAAAAGAGCTCACTACAGGTTTCCTAGGCCCCCAACTCAGAGCCTGCATCTGTCACTTGCTCCTGCTATTGGCCAAGGCTATCACAGGGTGGCCAGGCCTCAGAGGGTTAGGAAGTCAGTGCCTCCTGTAGGAGGGAGCAGCAGCAAAACCCCGCAGGGAGGATGTAGTTACCTGAGCTGGGAAAGGGGCCGCTTTTACACACTGCAGGCAGAGTGAGAGAATAACACAGGGCACAGCCAGACGTTCACTATCCTGCCACGCTGTCTCGAGGAGACACTAGGGCAATCAGATTAAAGAGAAGGTGGGCTCTTACTGGTTTTCAAAAATGAGAATGCTTTTATTTCTCCGAGTATGACAGTTATGTTGGACTCATGTGCAATCCATTCTCAAATCTCGTAGGTGGCACCTTTCTATTCAGCTTCCTGCCTCTGCTTCATGGGAAATACCTGGGAAACAAGTCAGCACTGTATCTGTAGATGCCTGTGAGCTTAACTGCATGAGCCAAGCGAGCCTCTTCCTTAAGTTGCTTCAGGTTTCCCAATGTGGGAATGTGAAGCTTGTTACGATTATACCTAAAGATGTGGGGGAGCCTTTGGAATTGGCTATGGGGAAAGGCTGGGGCCTGGGGAGATAGCTCAGTGTAATAAGTGCTTGCCTGGCAAGCACAGGGTCCTGAGTTCAATCCCCAGTATTGCAAAAAAACCCAAAAAACAAAAAAAGAAGAAAGAAGAAAGAAAGAAAGAAAGAAAGAAAGAAAGAAAGAAAGAAAGAAAGAAAGAAAGAAAGAAAGAAAGAAAGAAAGAAAGAAAGAGAAAAGGCTGAACGACTGTGGAAGACCCAGAGGGGGCTGAAAGCGCTGTCAGCAGAGCACTCGGGGTGACTCTGGGGAGGGCTCAGATGACCAGATGCTAGTAGAAATGTGGACAGGAAGGCTATTGTCTGCCCCAAGGGATACTTTCACAGGTGAGATCCCGAAGTTAAAGGATGTGCATGTGCAGGAGGCCAGCAACAGCAGCAGGCAGCACAGAGCACAGCGGAGCTCCACAGCACAGGAGCGCAAGGGCAGGGGCCGCCTGCATCTTTGCTGTTAATTCTTTTTTACTTTTTAGGCACCAGGAATTGCAGGACATCACACTTACCAGGCAGGTGCTGTGCCTCTAAGCTACATCCCAGCCCTATTGTATAACTCTTATTCATTTTGTTCTCTCATGTTTACATGCTTTTTTGTTTGTTTGTTTTGGTATCATGGATAAAACTCAGGACCGCTCCAGGCAGGTGCTGATGCCGCGGAGCTACATCCCTGCCCCTCATACTTACATTCTTCCACAGAGCCATAATCAGCGCATGCATGTTTACTTGTGTTAAGTCCTGGTTATGTAACTGTCCCCCTCTGTGTGCCTGCACTAGACAAGCAGGTTGAACCCTCAGGTGTCCTTGGATGTCCCTGCACTTTGAAGCACTCTGAGTGGTTCCCTACAGCCATGTAGATGCTTCAGATGGATGTGAGGACACCATTGGTGAACTGTACAAAGGCCACCTTTTTATACCATGGCAAAAAATTCCGCTTCATTCCCTGAAACTCTGGGGAAGAATGACCCTAAAGGTGAGAGGCCAATTTCCGTGGCGAAGTCAGCAAGCCCTTCAGACTACGGCACGGTGTCATTGTCTACATCTGTCCACACTCACTGTGAGGACCAGGAGCAAAAGGGAGCATGACACAGAAACTCCAAGACCTGATTTGGAGAGGGGCAAAACAGACACACATGTTGCTACAGATGGATGTTGCTACAGATGGATGCCAGTGAAAAGGAGGCACATGCTTAGATCGGAAAATCAGGACCCCTCATACACGTCAAGATGTTACCCGCTGCTTGCCCTTATATAGGCTCCTGTCATGAGGGGCCACCTGTAGCCACCTCACCGGACCTGAGCAAATGCAGGTGCCATGCCTTTGAATCTCTATGCTATGAACTAAATGAAACTTCTCTTTACAAGTTGGGTGCCTAAAGTATTTTGCTGTAGTAATGCTCTGTGTGTGTGTGTGTGTGTGTGTGTGTGTGTGTGTATGTGTGGGTGGGTGGGTGTGTTGTGTGTGTGTGTGTTACTTACTGGAGATTGAACTCAGGGGTCTTCCCACTGACCTACATCTCTAACCTTTATTATTTTTTGAGGCAGGGTCTCACTCAATCATGAAGTTGCCCCAACTAGACTCAAACTTACAACCCTCCCGCCTCAGCCTGTCATAGCTGAGATGACAGCTATTCAGCACCCCACTAACATGTATGTGCACGTGCGCGCACACACACACACATCTGCAGTATTTATAAGTACATGTACTTTTCAAACTAGTAGCAGTGTTCATGGGGTTTGCCTCTGCACAGCCAATAGCTGAAGGGAATCAAAGCTTTTGGCCTGCAATCGTTCGGTCTTATCATTTTGGGGCCTGTGGGAAGGCCCCACGTAGTCGCAGGAGCTCAGGGCTGCAGAAGCCACTAAACACGGAGTGCAGCTAGGAAGCAGAGAGAAAAGAAGGGGCTGGTGTCCCAGTGTGCCCTGCAGGGGCACCCCTGGCCACTGAGGCTCTTTCCCAGGAGGCCCCACCCCCGAAGGGTGCTAGCGTCTCCCATTGGCACGAGGGCCGGGGGACCAAGCACTCTGCGCGTGCACTTTTGGGTCACATTCAAGATCCAAATGCTACTTGTGACCGTAGCTATTTCTGGGCAATGTAATTACTGGTGACTTTTCTTTCCATGTTTGTGTGTGTGTTGTGTATGTGTGTGCACATGCGATATATGTGTGTTTGCATGTGATGTATGTGTGCACATGTGATCTGTGTGTGCATGTGACCTGTGTGTGCATGTGATATACATATGCACATGAGATATGTGCACATGGGATGTATGTGTGTGCACATGTGATGTATATGTGCACATGGGGTGTGTGCACATGGGATGTATGTGTGTGCATTGGCAAACCGCCAGACTTTTCAAATTTCTTGTAATCATGATGTTTTACTTTCATAATTAAAAATACAATGCAAATATATGTAAATAAGTGCAACACCAATTAAAAACAGCTCAGAAATATAATTTATGTGAATTTATTAATAAAATTTTCATTATCAGAAAAAACATAGTCCCCAGCAATCTCCTTGTTTTTATCAAATTCCACTCCACTTGACACAAGCAGTTCCTAGCACCTCAAACACATCACCCAAGAGTTTTCCCAACAAAGCTAGAAATCAGGTGCTCTCAAGGCCCCCCACCCATTCGTTCATACCTGACGCACCCCAAGGGCACAAAGCCTTCCCTCTGAACACCAGAGCAACACCTACAGGGCGTGACCCTGGGGAGGCCACGCATCACTGCTGAGGCTGCAACAAAGGAGGCCACAGGGATCAGGGACCTAAAGCCATCGCTGAAGGGAGGAGAACCTCCGGGCCACCTGGGACTCCTGCACGTTCAAACAGGCGACTTTCTTGAGTAAGAAAAACAATATAAAGTGCCAACATCTTTTTTGCATCATTTGACAAACAACAAGGGCAGCACAGACTCGAGTTTGAATCCGTATTCAAATCCCTTTGCCTGTGGGGTGACCAGTGATTACATTATTTTTATTTTTACAAAAATACTTCAGGGATGTCTAACAAAAGATTTCTTTAATGAGAATGAAAGAGATTTAACACTGACTCTGTTTTCAAGTGTGTATCTGATTAAAAAATTTAACAAAATTTTTCCTTCTTTCCCACTCAACTTCTCAATGCGTCTTGGATTTGTGGGTCTTCTTCCCTCGGCCCTTTTTTCCAAAGCATTTCCGGAAGCCATAGGCACAGCACTTAAAGGTGATGAAGGCCACCACCAACACAATGGCCAGTAGGAAGCCAATCACATCCAAAGAGTGGTACTGGTACCAAGTGAGGTCGTGGGCCGCAGGGCGCAGATGCGGCGCCCCCTTGTGCCTCATCACGAACTCCACCCAGAACACTGCCAGGTCCAGCGGCTCGATGGGACGGTCCTTGTGCAGGCTGGAGAGGCGCAGGATGTTCTCCTTGTAGCTGGGCACCAAGACAGTTATGTTAATGCCTGGGATGCACAGAGCAATGAACAACCCTCTCTGCTGCTTGCTCCCAGCTAGGCAGGCTGCCAGGTGTTCTAAACTTGGTAGGGAAATAGGTTTCTACAATACTCAGCAAAGAAACACATAGACTTAATAATCGTTCTTTATGAAAGAGGAGAAGGAAGAGGGGAAGGGAAGGAGGAAATACAGGTCATAGGCCTCTTTGGCTTTTCTCTTACCTTTTGTCATAGATGACTTTCTTAAGAGCACCTTCTAAGTCATCAGAAGTCATCTCAAGGACGTTCAGGGTCACGCCAGCTCCCCGGGTTTCCATGCGCTTTGCGTTGTCCATCTGATCACCGAACAAGGGCATCATGACCATGGGGACGCCATTGCATATCCCTTCATAAATGCCATGGGAGCCGGCATGTGTGATAAATGCCCGGGTCTTCGGGTGGCCTGGGAAGCAAAACAGGGAGGGATGCAGGCGGTCAAGCAGCTGAGTCTACCAGCCAGACTTAGTGTTCTCTTCACAAAGCCCTCGCAGAAGTGTGCAGAGGAAAGCAGACCTCCTCACGGATGGAGAGCCAGGCGAGACTCGCTGGCCACAGTGCTTCTAGCTAAATGATTCTTTCCATTAGCTATCCCTAAGCCATCTTGCTTTTAACTTGATCTATCTGTCAGATTCTCCCAACATACCAAGCAGATCATTCTGGGGTAACCACTTGACGAGTATTGTGTTCTTTGCGAGATTTGATGGTGGAGTTCCAGTGTAGCGCCACAGGACCTTGCAGGGACAAAAGGTCACAGTTTAACAAAAGAATGAGACATTATGACTTCTTTTTATCTACAGCAGCTGGAATGATTTCTCTGAATGAACAGAATGAACATGCCAGAGAAGGCGGGTTAGGAATTAAGAAAGCCTTCAGGCAGGTAGTATTCTTTATCTCATCCTAGAGGTTTAGCAACCAGGAGGTGCTTGCTTGGTGACTACATACAGTCAGCAAGCTGTGCTCTTTGAATTTTTCCACTTTTCCATGCTTCCAGGGAAAATTTCGTAAAGCAACCGGATGTAGAACTGTATAAGCAGGAACATGGGCAGTAAATTCAGTGTCCCAGTGAACAGCTTTTTGGAGACATTCTTATTAAATATAGGAGGAAACAATACCACACTTATGTTTAGCTACATCCTCCCTAATACTTCAGGGTTTCCCTGTTTCCAGTGAGACAGGGAGACTTCAGAGCGAAGGGAGTCATGGTTGAAGAGTGACTGACAGCTAAATGCTAAAAGTGAGGTTGGAACAACTTTAGCATTTGGGAAGTGGCGGGGAATACCAAATGCCAAGTTCCAACTAAGAGAACTAACTTGGGGTACCGAAAGCCCGGCATTAGAATTCCTACGACGACAGACATGAATGAGTCATATGAGGTTTCTCACCGTTTGAGGTATTCTGCCCAAGCCCTCAGCGATGGCCATAGCTTTCTTCTCCGGGATTTCTGAGACCATGGACCCCAAAGAGAAAACCACAACTCCATGTTCTCCAGAGGCATTAACATAAGCTTCGAATTCCTAGAGCCAGAAAAGAAACTTCCAGTTAATTGATTCTCACAGACTTTGGTGACTATATCCTTTCAGCTTTGAATTAGATCTCCTCCTCCTAAGAACATAATTAAGGCCAGGTGTGGTGGCTCTGCCTGTGATCCCAGCACTCAGGAGGCTGAGGCAGGAGGAGGACTGCTGCAGTTCAACGCCAGCGTGGGCTACAAAGTAAGGTCAGTCTGAACTGCATAGTGAAACCCTGTCTCAAACAAAACAAAACCAACACCATGATTAAAAATGTATGAAATAAAGAATTAATAATATGTGAGTTTCTATCATAGGGTGAAGTGCACCGTGAGCCATCATTTCTTCCTGTAAATTTTAGTCAGTCTGTTACCAGTAAGTTTGAGAACATTCAACACAATACACGCATTCTCTCCTCACTCCTTTCCAAAGGAGGAAAAAAAGTGAAAAAAAGCCAGGGAGACAGCTCAGCAGCGCAAGTGCCTTCCTGGCAAGCGCAAGGTCCTGGGTTCTATCCCTGGTACCAAAAGAAAAAGGAGGAAGGGTTCTTACTTACAGGGTTATCTGTGGGATTTCCTTGAGGCAGAGAATCCAAGTAGCATGTTAATTCTCCCGAATAAAAGTAGAAGCTCATGCATGTTTGTGTACACACATGCGTTGGATACCTACACACATGTGTACACACACACACACACACACACACACACAGATGAAGGCACATGCACAGTCACACACCATGACAGCTCCACTTACTGGAAACAGAACAGCAAGCATATAAATTCTCTCCTACTGCAAACTGTTCAGGACCTCATTAGCCCTTGAAAGGCTCCAAAATGGATTTATATGTCTCCAAAGAATGTCGTGGGCAAGCAGGACAGAGTTTTGCCTGAGCCTGAAGGCCCCTGGGACATGGAACCTTCAGTGTTAAGATGTGAACCTCCTGTGCAAACCAAGACCTCAGGCACCTCACCTGTGAGACCCGAAACAAACCCCCTAAGGCTCGGCACACACGGCTTACTTGAGCTTTGACTTCTGCCAAGCTCTAACCTGGACAGGGCTGGTTGCCAAGCGCAATGGCAACACTTCCCCAGAGCACACCCAGCCTCCCTTCGACTGGGCCACAGGCTCCAGGTCCCAGAAGTGCTCTGGCCCACCACAGAGCTGCATCCTGGCCAAGCCCGGCAGTGGCAAGCCCACAGCACCCATGCCCTAGTGGGTTGTTTGTATCACTGGAAGTTCTAAAAGGCGCACGGTCACTGTCCCCTCCACCACCCCACCTCACTTAAAGTCTGTGGTGAGCACACCTGCCGATGGGCCACACCATGCTCCCCTCCCTCCCCACTTTGTTCGAGCTTACTGCTGAGTTAAGGGCAAAGGCTGACCTGCTCTGGCCTTTGTCCCTCTAGGCTGCATTCAATCTCGCATCACAAAGGGAGAGTCAGTTTTCCCTCCCATGTCCACTGGCTACTAAAATGTGATTAGCACAAACTCAATCACAGCCCCAAAGTTAAATAGGTTTTACCTAAACAACAACACTTATCTACAATGGCAGCAGGGCAACGGGCAGGGACTGCGCTATCTCTGTCACCTTTTATGGGCCCCAGTAAAGGAGTGCTCCATGGCCTACTTGGGACTGTCCCAACCCCTTGCGTGATTTCCTGGGCCATGGAGGAGCCAAGAGCGAGTCAATAGGGCATCTGCGCACGACCTTTGGTCCCCCCCTCTTTTCCCCTTCCAAAAACATGTGAGCTACCTCTCCCCACCTCGCGGCCTGGAAAAGGACTTTCCTGTTCTGGTAAGACCCTCCCATCTAAGGTAAGACCTTTGAAGCAGAGCCTAAGTTATGACATAAATGTAGTTTTTGAGTTTTTAACTCTTCACAAGATTTTTTCTTCTCAAATGTCTTTTATCTTTCCAGTGTCTGCTACTCGCTGGAAAGATGTTGCTGCCCTGTTTTGTATCCTGAGTCCACCATCCGTCCCTCCAGCTTCCCAGTTCCAGGCAGGCGTTCTTCTTCTCTCTTGCTTAGTCTCTGGCTGCCCTAACCTCCCAGTGAGCCATTTTTCTCTAATATATGCAGCCTCCAGTACACAAAGATGACTTCTCACCACAACAGCGAAATGACACACAAATCTCTTGTGACTCGATCCTTTTGCTCTCAGTGGTATTCTTTTTACTTCCAAACACATGTCAAAGGCTGTTCATGCTTCCCTAGCAATTCTCTTAATGGAATAAAGATTTTATTTTTCTTCTTCTCTTCCCCTTCCTCCTCCTTCTCCTCTTCCTTCTTGTCTTTGTGGTGCCAAGGATCAAACCCAGGGGTGCTCTACCACTAAGCTACAACCTTAGCCCTTTGGTTTTATTTTGAGGCAGAAAGGTCTTGCTCAGTTGCCCAAGCTGACCTTGAACCTGTGATCCTCCTGCCTCAGCCTCCTAAATACCAAGTACCTGAGATTACAGGTACCTGGCAGTTTCTCTGTAGTATTGTGAACCAAACCAAACCCAGAGGTTTGTGAATGCACCCTTCCATTAAGAAACATCCAAAATCTTTTCTATTTTTTAAAATTTTGGAACAGGATCTTTATTCTTTTTTAATCCTTTTTATCTTTACTCTTGAAGTTCAGAACTTTAACCAAGAGCGTTAGAAACCAGATGTTTGGCATTAGAAGATCAGAAGTACAAAGTAGTACTTTTTAACAAAAGTGCAAAGAGAAAATAAACAGTAACTAGGGCTGGCCAGAGTCGCTCAGCGGAGTAAAGCACCTGCTTCAGCAGAACCCAAGGGCCAGGGTTTAATCCTTGGTGGGCTGTGCTGGCCTTGATCCCGGGCATGCTGAGACAGCAATTGAGACTGGGCATGGTGGCGCATCTGTAATCACAGCACTTGGGAGGCTGAAAGCAGTAGAATCACTATGAGTCCAACCTACGTAGTGAAACCCTGTACACCCTGTAGACCCTGTCCTAAATTCATAAGAAAGAAAATACACAGTAACTTTCCAAACTGTAACAGTCGGGCAAAGGGAAAATGGCAAAGTAAATAAAACATAAAATAAATTGGAAGAGTTACTAACAAATCTAGCCCTTGATAAATTCAAACGTGCAAAATGAACCTATTAAAGCAGTCTATCCAGCTGGATTAAATGTGTCAGGTCCATGTTGTCTAAAAGAAAAAAAAAATCCCTCAAAGACAAAGGAATACTGAGGAGGCATAGGGAAATGTGTACAAAAATATTATAGGGTAGAGAGATTAATACTTTAAAAGTGAAAGATAGAAGTAAAACACTGAAACTGATAAAGGATCTACAATGTGAGGTACAGGATCTCAGGATAAATCCTGAGGGGATTTCACTGACCTTATCAGACCCAAAAGCTACAACTCTTGTTGCATAGGTCCTGTTTTACCTTGGTCTTAACCATCCAGCAAAAAAGTATAAAAATGAAGTATAAGAAGTAAAGCCATGCTTTATGCTGAGCTATAGGGGGACTCAGGTCAACAATTTCTGACATTGTCAGTCAAGAAGAAGACCCAATACTATTATGGGCTACTGGACTCTTTTAGAATATTTTGCTGAGTTAACACACCTATAATATTCAAATAATGGAACTAAACAAAAAAAGGGGATACAGATGAATGTCCATTTTGTATCTGTATATTCAAAATGATTAGGATAGATATATAGTTACATTCTCTTAATGAATAGAGGGATTTGTTCTAATGGTGTTTGTAAATAAGATATCATGTCCGCATCTTGTACAGCAATTAACCACTAGGAAGAATGTATGCAATGTGTTAAATATTGAAACTGTCCTACCAATTTGGTTTGAAACTGTCTCATTGTTATTTGTTTCTCAATAAAATTATGGAAAAAAATAAAATAAAAATAAAACACTGAGCAAGACAAAGAACGCTATTATCAGATATAATTTACACAAACCTTTTCACACCTAAGCCTACTTGCACCAGCAAGGCATCCACCAATTCACACGCTGCACACTTCACCCCGGGGACAAATTCTGGGGGAGGGGGACACGACTGCAGCAGTAAGTGCCCTGAACACAGGAGATAACACTGAGTGGCCTTTCCCATAATCGTCCTAAAGAAGGAGATAATTTAATTAAAGACTATCTGTCCCAAACAGTGGCAAACACAATGCAAAATGATCCAATAGATAGCAGTTTCCACTCAAATCAGCAGCCACACAAGAATCCTTGCTAGGGCCAGACTCCTTCAACCATTCTCAGGAAATCTAGTGAATTCAGTAACCCTGATATTTGCCATGGGACTTAGGACAGGTGAACCTACAGTTCCTCTAGGAGAAAATGACCACACATCAGTTCTTCTGTGTTTACAGAGAGAGGCAGTCATGGCGGACCACGCCTACAACGCCAGTACTCTGAAGCCCAAGGCAGGAGCATGCAAGTTTGAGCTCACCCTGAGCAACTTAGCAAGTTAGAGAGATTTTACCTCAAAAAATCTTCTTAATGAAAAGACAGCAGAATAGTCAGCATTTGGAGAGGGGTAGAAAAGATAACACAGTCATAGTGGTGAAATAGACCTAAGAAGAAGGAGCGAGAAACACAACGCATATGAAGAACCCATAAGACACCTGATCTTTGTTGAAAGAATGTTGGAAGTCACAACAAAAAATCCTGGAATATGGAAATTCCTATGTTGTTCCATGGAAAACTAGATTAGACAGGTAGCAGGATAAAGTGGGACTTAAATACCAAGAAATACTATTAATCAGTTAAAAAAAAAAAAAGGCATAGTCGTCAGATCTAGACCATTAGCCACAACACATTAATAAATGAGTGAATGGCATAGACTGCTACCCTATATTGTGCAATTAGCTTTGAAGTTTTGCCACCAATACAGAATCAGTGAATAAATGAATGCCCTGTTAATTGTTCCTCCCAGGAAAATCCTCCCCGAGCCCGTGCCTTTAGTTTGGAGGGGCCTTTCTCATTATTCTCCATGAGCTCTCCTGAAGTCTAGAGGAGGGTGT